ATAACATGTAAGGAATTAGTCGTCTTCATGCGTAGCTGCCTAACAGGCGGCTGCATTTCCCATTCCTCTGGCAACTTGTCTACCTTAAGTACAATATTTATTGTCCCCCAGACAATTCTTGTAAGTTGTAATTTAATACCCTTTTGAAAAAGTAATACATAACTTTGATTTAAACTCACTTTAGATTTATTGTATATTAATAGTTTATGTTTACATAAAAAAAACTGGGAACTGATTTTTTTTAACGTCAAACTGAAGACATCTTTTTAAACTTCTTGCACCGCTAAGGAGAGAATAAAAAATATTTAAATTTATTGCAACTGGGATTAAACTACACATGAAAGTAACTATTTACCAACTTACACTATCGGGGGAAATTGTGCGGACGCTAACACCGCGAGATTTATTTATTTACTTATTCATTTCTTTTGTTGTGTTGTAAATTCCGCTTTAACATTGAAAATAGTTTTAGATTTTAGCTATTGACGCAAGAGATTCGCAGAGAACGAACAAAGTCTCATCAGCGACAGAGTTGGAGCGCTGTCCCCGAAGGCTAAAGTCGTCCGACAGTTCCGAGGGTGGATATAACGGATATCAAAAGAAGGGTTCCGGGTTTTCATGGGTCGGGGATGACAGTAGGTCACCAGCTTATTAAACATATTATAATTTTATTTATTTTGTATATTTTTTAAATTTTCATTCTTCCAACTCCTCATAACTTTGAAATGCGGAATCCAAGGTATCTGTATGCAGATTTCCCAAAAGTCTCTATGCAGAAAAATGGAAATATGATCATTAAACGAAAGGGAAAAAAGCACTCCCAGATCTCTAAGTCATCTTAAATTAATTAAACTAAATACTTTAAATACTGATTCTGAATTACAGGTCAATAATGACACCTCAGTAAGAAAAAGATTGCTTCCCATTATTATTAACAGGGACCAATCGGTTGTTTGAAAACAAACTGGAAACTGTGAATTTACAAGCCAATATTTACAGAAGCCAATACAATATATAAGAAGAAATAGGAAAGCAACTTTTCCTCTTTCTCGTTTCACATATAAGTAAAATACAACCACTCTAGTGTCATCCTTCGATACTTGAATTTCCTTTTGCCTTTGGTCAAATAAAAATTTCGTTTGAGAATAAAATATAAAGAATCCTCTCTCCTCACTCTTTTTTCTAATAAAAGAAATTAATTATCATTCTTCTCTTTTATATAGATTTGCGAATTCATCACTCGATAAGTGAATAGAGATTGGGAGATGTTTATCAATCTTTCCGAGTCAAGTAGTGTAAAAAATTAGTAACACATTTTTAAGGGTATCGCTGCCCTCTTCAGAACTGCAATTTATTACAAAACTAGGATATGTACAAACAAGAAAAATTCATAATTTGTTTTAAAAAAATTTTTCCTTGTAATATAAGATTTTATGTCAAATAGACATTTGTCAAAATAATTTAAATGCACGGCACGAGCACATCCTAAGAGACTTCGAAACAGATTGAAGGTAACAATGAAAGACGTGTGAAACAGAATAGTGGTCAATGAATTTAAAATGTAAACAGAGATCCTCTATTCTTCTCTTTTATTAAATCGTCCCTCTTTTTTTTTAAATAGGATAAAAAATACGACTTACTCACGCGGAATTTTTTTTTGAATTCAATGAATAACAAAAGTATTAGTTTAAAAGTTATTGTGATAAGCCAATTAAAAAAATATAGAAATCGGAAACAACAAATCTCAAATCGATCTCTCCCTCTCTTACTCTCGTAAATTGTATTTTCGTTTGACATGAAATTCTGTATGAGCGTAAATTTTCCGAAATACGTGTGCATATGGGAGTCATAGAGACAGGAGTATACTCATATGAGTTGTGGATGTATCGTGCACAAGTATTGGTTTATATACGCATGCCGGATGTGGTAATCCTTGAATCGATTTCACCTATAAATTCCACTCCGATTCCTTGCAAAGGGAACTATATATGTATACACACACAACCAGTCTCTATACTGTGTATAATATACTGGTAATCTATGCAAGCACGTTATGCTAAAAAATTACCAAAAAGCACTGTCTACTTTTCGTTTCAACTGAAACTTGGGCTATTTGAAAGTCTTTTGAATATTTACAGTACTCAGCATTCTGAGGAAATTGTATTTTTTCCCCCTAAAAATATGAACTATGCGAATTCGGTAATGCTCTGTAATAACAGCAGTCAAAATATTTGCCATACACCTTCCCCAGGGATGAGGGAAGTAATTGTTCGAGAGATTTCATTTCTTGCAAAATTCATAGAAGGGGATAATTTAACCTGAGTCATTATTTACAAAAGTTTTCGAAGGAATCATCTGAAAGGGAATAATAAATAATTTTGAGAACCAAGCAGTCTTTGTCTTACTAATTTTACCAAACATTCAGTTCCTGCTTACTGTGTAATACTCATTTACATACAGTTCAAACTGTAAACCTGATAAGAAACATATTTACGCCAGGCATCTGGAATTGATTATTCACCGGAAGAATAGATATAATCGTTGTTATAAGTCTAGAAAGTTAAAATAACAAATTAAATGGTAAATTCATTTACTTTTAGTCTGCTGCACCACAGGGAGAGCAGTTCTATTGCTTTCCACACTGTTCCAATAATCATATTTTTGTTAGTACATCATAGTATAATTCATACATTTCTTTTCGTGGATTATGACAAACTACAAACTGTTCCTGATTGTAAATGAATTTTGTCCGTTTTTAAATTAACTGTTGCGAAGTATTCTTGTAATGGTATTTCATACGATGCCTACACTATTACATCTTTTCATGAACCAAGAAGTTCGTCAGAAGACGATCTGAGGATACCGCAAGAGAGCACCTTATTTATATATTGACCAGTGAGTGAAGGGGGAAACAGTGCTCGGTGGGGAAAAGGAAAATGAAATTCCCAAATTAGACTCCTATTCAAAATACAAATAAAATTTCCAAATACTTTCATCAGCATCAAAAGTAAATGCAACATGTATGTCTGAACTATATCCTTCTTTCTGTGCAATTCACTTAAGAAATTTGTTTTTCTGACGACTTTGAAACTCATCACTTGGATGATAGCTAACGTTGTTGTGATGTTGGAACTTCGAGTTTAAACTTTATGTCATCCTGTTGAGTCTCCAATATCATTAGAGATGCAAATTTCTCAAGGATCTTGTTTCTCAGTTATGAACAATTTGGCTTATCGCTTTCTATGTCTAAGCAATTGTTAATAATTAGGAAATAAAGTTCTCCATTAATTGTCGGCAAAAATAGTTATTATCCATTTGTAAAATGATACATCGAATTATTATAATTTACAGGTGTTCAATTTTGCGTCTAACATTTGTTTGTAGTAGTTAGTCATTTCTCAGAATCGAATTGTTTGGATGATATAGAAACAGCTTCGGCAAATAAAAACTTGTTTTTTTGTATTCGCATCCAAAAGTTGTTATTAGTCACTTAGTTAAAGGTTTGACTTCTAAATTTAAAGTTGAATATGAAAATTTTTGCGTTTGAAAATAAGATGATCTGCTTTAATTCGAGATTTTTGTTTCCTTTTGCTGAAATTACAAATGTTTAATACAGAAGAAGAATAAATAATTTAAATCAACTTCCTCTCTTGTCCTTATCCAGAATTCCTTCGATTTTGGCCTTACCCTGGAGGCTTGTAATAATCAACCAACCCTGTCAGTAGATATTCACTATCCAGCATGTCACTTCTTCTGAGAGGTAGACATTCCTTCTGCAAACATTCTTTCAGGCTCTTTTACTTTTCAGTTATCTTGAATTTGAACAGGTCTCCATTAAAGAAATGCTTCTCGCTTTAAAAGCACTTGTAGCTTTGACAGAATATCTTTTACCTTTTCTGTCGCTGTTTTTCAGAATCGTGCACATTAGAAAAATAATCCAAATATAATTTTGAATAAAGAAACTCAAAAATAAAACAAACAATTAATCAGACATTCTTGTCTATCTATCTAAAGCTTAATTTTATTTAATAATAATAATAGATTAAATTTTTTTTAATTAATAATAATGAAGGATTTGATAAGTCTCTAGAAATCCACGCTTTGAAAACATGATAGACATCATGTTATTTCTTATTCTACGATACAAAAATGTACATAATTTTTAAAAGTCGAAATTTATGTCGTTCCTGCTGCAGTAATTCATATAATAATTGCAAAATTGATTTATATCCTTCTCTTGGTAGGAGAAAAAAATTGCAGGCAAAAAAAATTCAAGAGGAGTTTTCTGTTACGTATTCTAAAAGAATGTTCAACTTTTTTCAACTCGTTGTACTTTTATTCTATTTTTTTCAAGTGCAAACATTCTATAAAAATTCAAGAGAAATATATAGATCTCAAATTGCATTTCCCGATGATAAAGTGAAAATTTTAATACCTTACAAACGAATGTTAAGAAGAGCAATGAACGACATGAATACAAAATTTTCTTTTGACGAACGAACAAGTGAAGGACTAACAATATTTGGAATAAAAAGTTTTAAATTTATACCCGAACAGTATATGAACAACCATAAACCGGATGATAATTATTTTGATCAAAATTCAAGTGGAATATTCAATCTTTATGGAATAGAAAAAATTTTCTACACTTATGGCGATAATAATCAACGGAATATTCGAAAATAATACAATGAGTTTGTTAATGTTTAATAATAAATCGAAGGCTAATTTTGAATTTTTTAGAAAAACTATCATTGACAGTCAGTTTATTTAAATGTTAGTATTAACCTTCATCAAAACATGTATAAAATTTTCTGAAGGTGGAATTTTAATCATACAACAGCTTTTGAAAAGAATTTAAAACGTCATTTCAGTTCAAAATCTACGCTTAGCAACTGTTATCACTTTTTATTAGATTATGATAATTGAAAAAAAAAACGAAAGTCAATAAAATTATTAATTCCAAATGTGAATATAAATAGGTTTTTGATGAAAATTAGTAAATTTGTATTTTATCTGCTCGTTCATAAGTGTCTTTCGTATAATTAATCTGCGAGGTATCGGATTTTGCAAAAATAAAAAAAAGGAATTCGTAATTGGAAATTTTATTATCGTTCCTCACACTGTTTTAAAAACTATCGAACTAGTGCGTAATCAGAAGATAAAAAAAAATGAGAGTACTTCTATTGACATTTATATTGGCAAGTGTTATTTTTTCATCGATTCATTTAAATTTAGTATCTGCGAATGAATCCAATCAAGTTATTGCCTTTAACAATGTAAAAGGTGAATTTGACCGTAAAAAGCGACAAATACCACAACAAAGCTTTCCTCAATCACAAGGTAGTTTAAACAATGAAGATGTAAATATCCTCGGACTACTCAATTCGTTTGGTAAATTACAGCAAGAATCCAATTCAATAGTAGAATCTAATACACATTCTCCTAATCCAATTAATTCTAATTATCAATTTTTGCAAAATGGTAATCATTATCAACAGAATGGAAACCAATTTCCACAAAATGGAAATCAATTTCTACCAAAAGTAAACCAATTTCCACAAAATGGTTACCAATTTCCACAAAATAGTTACCAATTTCCACAAAATGGTTATCAATATCCACAAAATGGAAATCAATTCCCACAAAATGGATACCAATTTCCACAAAATGGAAATCAATTCCCACAAAATGGATACCAATTTCCACAAAATGGAAATCAATTCCCACAAAATGGATACCAATTTCCACAAAATGGAAATCAATTATATCAACCAGGAGCAGGAGTCAATTTTTCACCATTAACATCCAATTCCAATATTGGATTAAGTGAATCTCAATGTGACATTCACATAAAGAAAATGGAATCAATGTATAATCAAATTTTAGAAGAGATCATGAAAGATGTGAAAGCTGCAGCGAATAAGGAAAAAGATAACGGAATTCTGCAAAATCTTGTCAATCGTTTTGGTACATTTCGTCAAAATATTAGAAATTTTGCTAAAAAAATAACAATGGGAATATCTGATAAAATTATGGAGCAAATTTTAAAAGTTAATTAAAGGTAACTAACCAATTTCTCAAAAAAAATGTAAACAACATCTAAGTTGAACTGAATTAAAAATATTTTTTCTTTTCAGTTACAAAAGAGAAATGGAACAATAATTAATTGTATGAAGAAAAATATAATTATTAGCAATTATTACTAATTGTAGTATTATTACTAATTGTAGTCTTATTACTAATTGTATTCTTATTACTAATTGTAGTATCATTAAATCTATTATTAAATAAATTAAAACACGACGTAACTAAAAAGTGTTTCCTTCTTTTTAATAAATGTTTCCAAAAACAGATTTCGAGTTTTAATGCTACAAACATTGTTCCAACTTATAAAGTGTAACGTAACACGAGTAATAAAAATTTATAGACCATTTTCGTGATAACTTTTTCTCTACTGGGTCAGTTAGGATGATTTACAACTATACTTAAACGTTATAGTAAGAAATTTTAATCTAATAGTTATTGTGATTTTTTTAACAGAGTTTAAAACTGTTTTTGTTTTTCATTTCTCGAATATTAAAGTTAAGCTTTTTTTTGGGTATTCCAACGATGATTAGTTTTACTTAATAAAATTACTCATTGCATTTGTACAAAAAATGAAATCAAATTGGAATTACTTTACGACTTTTGGAATTAGAAATTCCACACTTTGGATTTATATAATATTCCACCGGAGATAATTATGTTTTAAGGAACTTTCTCGGCGTCAGGAAGGTGAACTACCCAAATTCTGATGTGTATAAATAAATTATTATCACTCACGGACTAGTTTCAACATTGGCCGAGGTTGTAATTTAATTATTCGAAGATTAAAATAATTTGGCATGATTAGAGTTTATTATTAGATAAAAGTAATTATTATTGACTATTATTATTATTATTGACTATTATTATTATTATTATTATTATTAGTCACTTTATTATTGCCCTAGGGAAATAATAGTCAAAATATTGACTGTTTATCGATAAAATCGAATAACTCGAGTAAATCTTAACCGATTTTGATCAATTTTTTTTTTGTTGAATAAAGAATGATAAAAGAATGAGTTCTGATAAGTTTATTTAATATTTTAGATACTTTTATAGAATTTAAGCAAAGAAAACTGAAAAAATAGCGACTTTTCGAGATTTAGACAAACGTAGAGCCTAAACTCCTAAACGGATTTGTAAAATATTCTGGAAAATTGTTAATTAGGTTAATATCTCGATAAACATTTTAGGAAATTTTAATACATTTCGTATTTTTTGAAATATTCGAATTTTTCCCCCAAAAAAATTAGATTTTTTTGAAATTTAGACAACCGTAAAAAATAAACTTCTAAACGAATTTGTAAAATATTCTGGAATAATATTAATTAGATTTTATATACGTTGCAGAAAATTTCAATACATTTCGTATTTTTGGAAATATTTGGAATTTTTCCAAAAAATGAGATTTTTGTTGGAAATTTTGACAAACGTAGAAACTAAACTTCTAAACATATTTGTAAAATATTCTGGAATATTATTAATTGGGATAAAATCTTGATATACATTTTAGAAAATTTTAATACATTACGTATTTTTTGAATTTATATTTGGATTTTTCCCCAAAAAATTGGATATTTTGATATTTAGACAAACGTAGAGCATAAACTTAGGTAATTTTATTTAAAACGAGGAAATTCCATTATTGCCCTAGAACAATAATGGTCCCATTATTGACCAACTGAACAACATAGAGGACTGCACCTGAACCCATTTCAAATATAATCTCTTGATTTCAAAAAGTAACACAAAGTTTTAAATAACATTTAAAACAAAGAATAATGTTTGTATTTTAATATACTTTATTTCATACACTTTTATAAAATTTTACAATCATAGTAAAGAATTTCACGCAATTTTACAAATTACAAAATTAACAATTAACAATTAAAAAATTAACAATTAACTGTTATGCATTATTATCATAATTGTTTATTACAATTATTAAAATATCATAATAAATCGCATACATAAAAATAGTAGAGAATTCTTGCCTTGAAAATTCTTCTGAAAGAAAAAAAAATTCTATTAATTTAGAGTATATAGGAATGTTAAAATTTTTTTTAATATTTTAATGTTTCTTCATGATTTTTTTATGATTTTTTTAAAGAAAAAAAAATAGTTTTTACTTACCGAAGACAGTTTAGTGTGAAAATAAGATTTTATGAAGAGCATTCATTATACGATCAGAGACACCAAGTGTTAAAACTGAAAGAACGCGAAGAGCAGTTTGAACAAGACCCTCGATGAAAGAGAAAATTCCCTGTAAAAATGTATTATTGCTCCTGACAGCTGTTTGCTTTAAATTTTCATATTTATCCTTTAGTCCCAAATTATTGAAGAAACTGATAATCATTCCAAGACCATCCTGTTGTTCTTTTGTCATATTGCCCATTAAACCAGTAACTTGATTTTCTAAAGATGCTTGTGAATTGGCAGAATTTGGATTTCTGGCATTATTTATAACAGCCATTATATCTTCATGTTTAATATTTGAGAATCCTAATGATTCTGGTGTTACTACTGGTCCTGAACTTCCTGCTAAATTTGGCACAATATTTGGTGGATATGATTGTGAATTAGTATTAAATGAACCTACTGCAGGTTGTCCTTGTTGATAATTTTGCGGTTGATTTCCATAATACTGAGTTGTTGGTACTCCAGGATTTAAATATGGCAAACTATTTTGTTGATATTGGGCAAAAGTTGATGAAAGGGCAATGCCCATTAAGCAGAAAATTACTACAATTGTTCTCATATTTTTAATTATTTTTAGAAAATCAAAAATCTAATCAAATTTTGATCAAATTGAACTATAAAAACCGTTGTCGATAAAACTTTATTAACTACTTTGAATCAAACACGTAAATTTCTTTTATATAGGAGTTTGATTATTGACACAGGTGAATTATTAAAAAAAATAATTTTGAAATTATAGAGTAATCGTTAAAAAAAAATTATTAATTTTTAACATTTATATGTTTACATTATTTTTTATTTGAACTTTATTTGCTATTAAATTTTATTTATTCATGAATTACGAAGTTTAGAAAAACACGTGTAAATGATAAGAAATTTATTTTCTCTATATGCTAATAGTCGAAACCTATTATTATTATTATTATTATTATTACTAGAATAATTTTTTTAACAAAACTTTTTAGTTTTGAAAAATTATGACAATCAATATTATTTTTATCGACACTTTACATAATAAAAAATATAATTTTCAATTTGAATTTCCCGCTAATATTTTCTTTCCTATGAAATCTTTTTTAAAACTAGGGATTAATGATCATTATTACCCTAGGGCAATAATGGTCACTTTATTATTTCTCTAGGGCAATAATGGACACTTTATTATTGCTCTAGAGCAATATTTTTATAGGGAATCTTACGTAAAACGAGGAATTATTATTAATATTTAATATTATTAACATTTAATATTAATATTATTATTTAATATTTGAGCTTTATATCCCAAGGGCAATAATAGGCTATCGTCCATTATTGCCCTAGGGATATAAAGCTCAATTCCGTATTTTGCGCATTACGAATATATTAATAATAACATTAATGTAAGTCTCATTTGAATAATGTGACAAATGAACTGAAAATTTATAGACGTTGACTACATTAAAAAAATATAAATATCATTGTATTTTTTTAATCAAATAATACGTAGAAAAATACACGGATATACGAATTTAATTAGAATCGACCTTCGAAAATAATTGACATTTCCAATTAACTGGTAAAGTTGAAAATTATTATTAAAATTTATTATTTGATTTAAGTGCTTACATTTATAGCGAATTTTACTTAAATACTTGCTTTTATTGACCCAGGTGTTGATAAAATTCTAGAAAAAAATAAAAAATAGTGCAAAAAAAAAGAAATTAAAAAAATTCTATAAAAATTTTCACTATTAGAATAAATTGAAGAATTTATTTACTCCTCCTGAATATACTTCTAAATTTTTTCTTAAAATTGTTACTTTTTTATGAAATTTCTGCTAATCAGAGAAGGATTTAGAGATTTAAAATTTTTTTGTTTTCTCAGAAATGAATGGTTTAAAAAATTCTTAAAATTTTACTTTTTCATCGAATTAACATTATCTCTCTTTTATAAGTTGTAAAAATAGAAAGACAATAACAATAAAAAATGCAAAAAGAAAAAAAATGCAATAAAAAAACCTGAATCTAATTTTAAAACGTGACATATTAAAATGCAAAATATAGAAATTAAAATCATGTTTAAAAAAAAATTTTTTTTCCTTTTGTATTTCTTAGCAGTTACCAACATTAATTTGAAAGAATACCCACGAGTGAAAAATGTTATTCTTAAAAAACTTATTTTTGATAATAATTGTTAATTGTAAGAATAGTAAATTTTATTAATAAATTCTATTCCATCAGTTATTCATATTTTTTATTTCAAGTTTTTTTTTATTTAAAAAAAAAATTGATATAAAAATATGGTAATGTTTAATAATTTTTTTAAAAAATAAATTAACAGATTATTCTTCTTGTGTTGCTGAGAAATATCGTGAATTCAATGATTTAACACTCAATGAATTCATAAAATCGTGTGAGAAAAATAATCAATCGTATGAAAAATTAAGTACAACACTCTCTCCAATATGGAATGAACTCTTAATGAATACAACAATTAGAGGTTGCTCCGATGATGAAAATCGAAAATTAATTTCAAAATTAGTAAACGAAACATTAAAATGCTTTGAGAATAATAAATATTTGAATCGAACTGGAAAAATTGTTGATCAAATTATCAAAAAACTGTGTCCTTATTATAAAATTGGTAAATTGATGAAAAAATATCTTTTTCATAACGTATTTATTATAATAATTATAAAAAAAAAAATTGATAATTTTTTTCTCAGTTATTAATGAATTAATTTCTCACTTCTCAGTTAACTTTAAAGCAAATCAAGAGAAATGCATCGAACACTCAGTTGAAGAAAAATGCTTGAAAGAAATAATGCCAATAAAATTCGATTACTTTTTTTCCCTATCAATGATTCATACAAAAGAAGAATGCACGTGAGTATTTACATATTTTCCAAACGAATAAATTTTCAACTAAAAAAAAAAAATAATAATAATATAATAATAATATTTTTAATTCAAAAAAAAATTTGTTTTTCAATAATTAGTAATCTATTTGGAAAATTAAATGAGCAATCAATATTGGTATTGAATAATTTAAACACATATATGGTAAAATTGAAAGCAATATGAAGCTGGTAAACTAAGTGAATGCATTTCATTGACAATTATCGTTAATTTATTATATTTTCAGCCGTTTGTTAAAAATGACATATTGCACTATGAATGGTATTAAAATTGGTTGCAACGATATATTTTCCGATATATATGAAGGAATAATTCAAGAGTATTCGTCTGCTTTAAGATGTCAGAAGAAATAAGAAAACATTTATAAAATTGATTTAAAAAAAAAATTGGGCTAATTTTAATTATTAATTTGCAAGCAAATTGAAAACATTTATAAAATGAAATAAAAAAAATTCGTTCATTATACTTGATATTATTTTTATTTTTCCACGTGGGACATTCGAAGCTTGCGGGAAGCTTGCAAAACTTGCAGAACAAATTTTCTGATTGCATACTATTTGAGAATGAAAGAAAACTAATAATGCATGTTATTTTTTTATTTGAAATCTGTTTTTTTTTAATAAAAAAGTGGTTACGATTAAAGTATACCTAAAAAAATTCTTCTTTGCTGGCATTTAAAAAAAATTTTAACTAACCGCATATTGCGCTCATTTTCAATAGTAAAAAATCGTGATTCAACGATTTCACACTTTCTTTCAATCAGACACAACTTGTTTCTGTAGTTACACTTGCTTGAAAATGTCGTCAAAAAGGCGTTGTGAAGGAAAAAAAAAAGAAGAGAATCAGTATTTTAACGTCACGTATTTTCAATGACATTAGTACTTCATTCACTAGGGTTGATTGCCGACGAATCTTGGCCCACCATCGGAATTTTAATGAACATTTATAGTCCCTGATTTCGATCTCCCAGGATTTTAAATCTTCTCGTTTTTGTTAATTTCACTTCCAAACGACGTTTGGATTCGCAAGAGATGTTTAATTACAGCAAGAGAAGAAAAAAAAAACGTAAATTAAAAAGAATTGCTTATTTTAAAATACTTTTAGAAAAAAAAGTACTAAGGAAATCGGAATTCTTTTTTTTTCTATCTTCAATTTTCGTTTGTATTTTTCTTCCTCATTTGTTTATTCTATTTATGGATATTCACCTTGGAAAGGGTTTTTAGGTGTCCGTATAGAGTTAAGCATCTTTTGAATATGTATGACCTTAAAATCTTTCCCTTAATGCACAAGCAACTCAGAAAGTGTAAATGTGTGACCAGGTTTATATACTGTACACAAATGAAAATTTGATGCTTGAGATTACTTTACATGTTTAGCAGAATCGATTAAAAATATTCAAACACTTTTATTATTTTTTTTTTTTAATATCGATAGAGAAATAGTAAATTAGGAAATTAAAATTATTATTTCATTTTCCCACATAACAATATTTTTTTCTATATTTTGATTTTGTATCATCTATCTGGTAGAAGATTACATTTGAGGATTTCAATCAAGTCGATAATTAAAGATGAGTTATTAGCTCAAAGTAATTGAAAATCACATCCTGACAGGTCCGATAAAAGCAACAGTAATTACTTGAAACGGAAATGAAACAGCGGCCATTTTGCTCTTCCATTTAACTTAATTTGATGCTCTACATCATAGTTTCAAAAGGACAGTAAGTGGCATGAAAAAATGAACGGTTAAAAAATTTTTTTTATTTTACAGAAGATCACCTCCATCTCACATGAGGATCCCTTTTATAGAAGATTAATGTATTAGATTTAGCTAATTTCCAAAATGTAAGAATCTAATTCTCAAGTTTATTTAAAAAAAAATGATTTGTAATTTATGCAATCGAATGATTAGACGTTACATTACACAGGATCACAAAAATTTTTTAAAATGAAGTATTGACTGGACCATGTTTTTTGGGTCGCTGAATTCGAATCCGAACTCAGTTTTTTACCAAATTCAAGATCTGATAAATTTTAAAAATATTCGTTAGCCATATTGGATCCGCCATTTTGAATTTTTAAAAACTAATATAAAATTCATATTTAGCGACCCCAAAAACCTCCGAGTAACAAGTTTCAAGTGAATCTGATAAATTTTTAAAAAATTCGTCAGCCATATTGGATCCGCCATTTTGAATTTTGAAATACTAAGGTGAAATTCGTATTTAGCAACCCCAAAAACCCCTGAGTAACAAGTTTAAGACGAATTAGGTGAATTTTAAAAAAATTGACGCCATATTGGATCCGCCATCTTAAATTTTGAATATTTACGAATTTTTTATGATATATCTCCTAAAAATTATTGAAGCCTAATTATTAAAATATGAAAACGATTCTTAGAAGCTGCTATCGACTTCTGAATTTCTTAAAAATTTATTGTAGCCGGGATTCTACTATTTGTCTAAGAAAATTTAAGAAAGGAATGTAAAAAAATAATTAAAAAATGAAATTATAAGATAAAATCAAGAATCAAATATTTTAAAATAATTTTTATTAAATTTCTACTTGATAAATTTTCTAGAATTTCTTTCTCTCATCAAGTGTAAAATTCCATGTTAAACTGATTCCTGCGCTTTTTTGTACTCGTAAACGCTACCTCTTTGAAGAAAGCTTTTCTGTGTTTCTTCAGAGTGTTGAATATTCTGTCCCACAAAACCGTAGCCACCGCCTCCTGGAGTTTCAAGAATGAAAATATCCTGCAAGTAAAAGACAAATATTTTCTTGCATAAACATAGGAGCTGTTAATTATTTTCCAAGTTTCAAAAAATTTTCAAAAGAAAATTACTTGTTTTCAAAAAGAAAATGGAAGAAAAAATTTAAATTACTAGGAAATTTTTGAATTTAAAAAATATTTTCATTTGTGATAGCACAAATGATTATAACCGACAATAATGTATTCTCAATATAGGTAAATAGAAAATGTTTCTGATAGTAAATAGTTTTATCTACATGTTCATTTTTATATAGATTTACTATTGAGAATGGAATATTTTTCCTTTTTCAAAGTTAAGTATTCTAAAAGACTATTTGCATTTATGTTTGGCTAGAATGTAGAGAAAACAGGTGAAATCTTTTTCACTTTTGAAATGTGCAAATTTATTGCTGACTCGGTTGATTTTTTTCTTGGCTCACACAGAAGTACATGACTTCAGATGTTGTCTCATAACATCAGAAGGTAGATAAGAAAAGAAAAAGGGTTTCATCCAGAAAGATAAAATCTTTACGAGAAAACATAAAATGTCAAATCTTTTAACCAATTTCTTTTGTTTCTTTTACCTTCCGTTTCTTTTTATACATATATAACTAACGTTATCAGAAATGTTTCAAAGAAAAATTTTACTCTTTCCCATTATTTCCTTTTTATATTTTACATTCACGTCGACTATATTAATTTACACAATTGCTAATCTTCTGATATAGAACTTAAATTATTAAAATATTTTATCTACATTTTTTTATATTAAAAATATATCTCTTTTTTTATTTGTATTAGCGTTCGGTTTAAAATATTTCTATCATTGAATTTCATCAAGATTGTTATTAAATATTATTCAACTTACTCCATTTGTGACAGGGACAGCAGTTTTTGCACCTAAATTAATAATTCGTCCATTTGCTTTGATTAATGTATTTTTTCCACGAGCACCAGATAATCCTCCATTAGAACCAGGGGGATTAAATACTCTTCTTTCGGTTAAAACAGAAAGAGTCATAGGAGCTCTAAAAAAAGATTTTATTCTTAATCTCTGTTCGTTATTATTTTTATGAATGTGTTTAGTTCAAAGAATGAAGTGGAGGAAACTTTTTAGAAACATCTTAAAAATGCTATCTATAATTACGGTTCAATTTACAGCAGAAATGCAAGTTCCTAATCCGCTTACTCCAAAGTCCAAAATGTTAGGATTATCAATATTAGAGTTATTATTGAGTTTAGTAAAGAAAATCAAAGTTAAAAAATTTTTTTATAAATACTTTTAACCTATAGTTGATAATTAATTAAAAAATACCGTGAACCGTCATCAAAATACTTACAAAACAAAAAAGGATAAGAATTCGATTAAAAAGTAATTAATCAGATGTTTGTACAAAATAAATATACCTAAACATTAATTGTCGAATAACACCATCCCCTCCGTGAAAAGCTCCTCGTCCACCACTTCCACTTCGGAGAGAAAATTTCGTTAATATAATCGGATAACGTATTTCGAGAATTTCAGGATCTGTGATTCTAGTATTGGTCATGTGAGTGTGAACACCACTACGTCCATTCCATGTTGGTCCCTAGAAGGTTAATTAATTTTATTGATCGAAAATTATTATTCCAACGAATGCATTAGCAAGAAGAGAACAAATCGACAAATTAATTACCAAAACACAGAAGAACATTGAAAACTAATGTGCGAATGGAAAAGTAGCAATTATTTTCAACATACCCTAGCTCACGACAGTGTGGTGATTTATAATAAACATGTTACTCAATACACATATATATTGGAAACTTTCATACCAGAAATTACGTTTCTGTTAAGAGTAAATTTCATTCGGACTGTTGCAATTGATATTTGATGAGCACAAATTGCAACTGGATTTATTGAATGGTACATTGGTACCTAACCGAGTGCACACAATGACACTAGGTTTTATTTAAATGCTTTGTAAAATTTTCGTTTATTCGAAAAGTATCACCGACTAAATGGATTTTCATTTAAAAGCTAAAGTTAATACTTAATGATATAAAATAAATGGATACAAATATATATATTTTGCATTCATTTGTTTTCAATTTTGTATACAACCAACTCTCGAGTATTTTATTTTAATTGAAAGTAATAAAATGAGAAATTTAATTATAATACTTTGTAATTATTGTTAATTGAAAAGTGCAAAGACATCTTGCATCTTCTATCCTGAATTAAGGATGACCTCTATCACAGAAATATTGACTCCTAATAATAATAATCTAACATCTAATTATGATCTCGGTTATTAGTTGTTGTTCACTTTTATGCTTCTTAAAAATTTAATGTATCCAGTATTCTATTTCTAAGATTTAATTATTCGATTGGGTAAATTACAAAAATCTTTTTTTTTCTAAATAAATTTGAAAATTAGATTGTTCCATCTTAGAGCTGTTGACGGTAAGACCGTTTCGCTGCGAGTGACGATCTCGGCGAGTGTAACGAGGGATATCGACTCTGCGAATTGTGGGGGGAGCGATACGCTGTTGATCAACAGTGGGGACTTTAGCGTCTGCGCACGCGCTAATTATAATAATTTATAAGATTATTTAAGTAAGAACAAAATATTAAATGGACAAGAAACTTACTGCTCCGCTTCCTCCTGCAACTGTTTCGTAGTAACCCCACTCTTCAGTACCCAGGGTTATATTATTCATGCAACCTTGAGAAGCTGCACAAACTCCAAAACCCTGAAGAACAACATCAACAATTCGCTGAGAAGTTAAAACGTTTCCCCCAACAACAGCAGCTTCATCAGATGGATCCAGTAATGAACCTCTGGGTATAATTATTTTGACTGGTTTTAAACAACCCTGCAAAAAAAAGAAGTTGCAAATAATTTTATAAATATCAATTTAATTGGTAAGTGATGTTCCCTGCAAATGTCGCATTACTATTTGAAAGTTGCGTCATTCTATAAATTTAAATTTCCCCTATTACACTTAGAAACAAAGATAATACCTGATTTAACGGAATGTCCCTTCCTACAATGCAACGCAGGCAATAAATCAGAGCTGAAATTGTGATGGCACGTGGAGCATTCCAATTTCCCCAGACTTCACAACCAGTACCTCTATTTAAATAAATGATTTATAACATGCCCCTTTTTTTAATTATTAATCAAATTCAATTACATAATTGAAACATACGTAAAATCACAGACAGCTTCTCCATTATGAATATCAATATCCAGACACATTTTTATTGCACTCCCATCGTCAAGGTAATCAATGGCATTGACTTTTGTAGATCCAGTTGATTCGTAAATTTGTTTGCCTATATATTTTAACATTTCTCTCACAGCAACTTCAGCGTTGTGTTGAATATGACCCATGTAGGCTTGTACTACTTCTAGTCCATAGATATCTATTAGCTCAATTACCAAATGCGATCCCTAATGGAAACAACGAGTTTAGATTTTTGAAATTGCGACAGTGGTTCTAATAATTGAAATTTTACTTTTTGGTTAGCAGCGATTTGGGCCTTTAGGTCACTAAGATTGTCTGAAAGATTCCTAGTACCGGAACTGCCGGGAATCTTTCCTGGTGCCATCAGAGCTTCTATTAAATTTGCTTCTTGAAAAACGCCATTATGAACTAGAAGAAAACTCTTAAATGCCGCACCTTCCTAAAATGTGCACATGATTTCGAATATAATTATTTTTATATTTGTCATCAACACCCATTACTATTCGTATTGATTTAAAAAAATATTTGTATTGTTTAAAAATATATCAATAACCTGTTCTAGTTTAGTAGAATGGGGTGGCATTGATCCGGGAGTGATACCACCAATATCCGCATGATGACCTCTACTAGCCACGAAAAATACTGGATTTGGTACGCTTCTGAATTTTCAATTACACAAGATAAGTTAAAAGCAGTTAAGGTAAGTAAAAAGTAAGTTAAATTTTCTTAATGGAAAATAATTATACCTATAAAATACCGGAGTAATCACAGTTAGATCTGGTAGATGTGATCCTCCAGCTGATGGATGATTTGCCAGAATCACGTCTCCTTGGTTAAAGACCCCATTGAAGTATTTTATTTGATATTGAACTGTTTCCTGCATTGCACCCAAGTGGACAGGTATATGAGGAGCATTTGACACTAAACCCCCGTCTGGTCCGAAAATTGCACAAGAGAAATCCAAGCGTTCTTTTATATTCGTTGATATTGACGTTCTTTGCAAAATTCTAAAATTCAATTCCAACAAATTATCAGATGATTGAAAATACAAAATTAAAATATTTTCGACTGGTCAATTTCAAGAATTTTCAGACAATTTGCTTTGACTATTTCATTGGGAATATTACTTTCATTCCACAAGGACACACCGGTGGGTAGCAACAATTTTTTATGGATGCTATTCGATTAGTTCAAGAATTTGGAAGACCAGATTTATTTATTACCATCACATGTAATCCAAAATTTCCTTAGATTACCACGTTCTCAATAATTTTTTATGGATGCTATGCGATTAGTTCAAGAATTTGGAAGACCAGATTTATTTATTATCATGACATGTAATCCAAAATTCCCTTAGATTACCACGTTCTCAATAATTTTGTATGGATACTATGCGATTAGTTCAAGAATTTGGAAGACCAGATTTATTTATTACCATGACATGTAATCCAAAAATTTACTTAGATTATTAAATTCTTAATAATTTTTTATGAATTTTATGAATGTTATGCGATTAGTTCAAGCATTTAGAAAACCAAATTCATTTATTACTACGACATGTAATTTGGAAGAGTATATTTATTTCTTACCATGGCATGTAACCCAAAATGACCTCTGATTTCAGAAAATTTGTTGCATAGTGAAACTGCTTTTGATCTACCTGATATTATAGCTAGGGTTAATAATTACATTGTACATTCTATACTATACTTGCCATGATAGTACACTTACGATATAAAATTGAGACAATTATTAATCAATTTTTAATTATTATTAAAGTTAGGTTACTTTAGTTTAAATACTGTTAAACAAAAGCATTGCAATTACCTTATATAAAAAGAGTAGATATGCAAATTAGGTAAAGGAAGACATTCCTATGTTATTTTTTTGAAAAAGGAAGAAAGCAATATCGTTACCTAGATAATTTTACCAGGAATAATATTAATTAAATTTGTCGCGTCCAGTAAAACAAAAATCAACTATTACAAACCATTAGTGATAAAACTTCGCAACAGTTTTTTTTATTGTTGTTGCTATTTTTTGTTTTAATATCAATTGTAATGAAATCTTCTATTTTCGGTTTTCAATAATTATCAAGAAAAAGGCGCGCCTTTGTCTAGTAATTTATAAAAAAAAATGTAATACTTAAATAATCACCTTCCCATTTGTTCTGCAATACTCATAAATCGATGAGAAAAAATACTGAGTTGTATGGCGTCTAATTCTGTGGTGACTTTTGTCTCAACATCATCACCAATTGTGATTTTGACGTCCCCTCGGCTTGTAATTAACGCTGAGCAATTTGGCTCGATTAACAAAGTACTCAGACTATCCATAATAATGGCTGGACCAAATATCTCATGTCCAGCTGATAAGCTGTCTAATTTATACACCCTCGTATCTTGATAGCCATCCTCAAAGAATGTTTTTGTCACCTACATGACAAAAGAAAATTAATTAAAATCAGTTTTCCCTGTATTGTATATTTCAAAACATACCTTTTCGACTTTTAGCGGTTCTTTTGATTTGGGAAGAATTGGATCTTCAATTACGTCTGATTTCCCTATTCCTCGAACTCGAATGTCGTTGATAAAAATTTTTCTGTTTGGCATTGTGAATCCAAATTCGGTTTGATACCTGCAAACGGATTTATCTTTTAGTGAAAGTTGAATTACTTCATGAAACAGTAAAAATAAAAAGAGACCTTTCTAAAAATGTTGTTAAGAAATCACCGTGCTTGGGATTGTCTTCCAATGATTTTGTTTTAGGAGTGACCATTAGAGCACAATCAGTACCTTCATAACGCATATGTAGAAAATATTCTATTTTTATTTGATTATCTAAAAATCCTTGTTGCTGTAACTTGGATCTTACAATTTGTTCTAAGGCATTGAATCGATTTTCTAAGCGTCCAAATGAATCTGGAAAAAAGTTTTAATTATAAATTGTCTGCAGTTCTTAATCAATTTGTTTGTAGAACGAGAAACCTAAAACAAGGATGAAATTTTATACCTTTCTCATAAGTTTCTATACTTGGTTCTTGAGACTCTTCTACAACATCAGCAAGTGCCATTCCATATGCAGATAAGATCCCAGCATACTTGTGCACAAATACAGATTTCATCCCTAATGATCGAGCAATTGCACAAGCATGTTGCCCTCCAGCACCACCAAAGCAAGCCAAAACATGTTGAGATGTATCGTATCCTTTGCCCTATAAAGTAAATCTTTAGTATAATTATTCTTTTAAATGTGATTTCGTCTTTAAAATAATTTTTGTAACTTGTATTTCAGTAACGTCTGAAAATTTATAAGAGTTCTTATTATAGTACCTGGGTAAGAGATCTAATTGGACGACACATGGTTTCATTTGCTACTTTTATAAATCCCATTGCTACCTCTTCGATACTCATCTTCTCTGCCTCACTCCTTATTTTTTCTTTTATTAAAAAATCATTTATCTAAAAAGGATTAATAAGATATTATAATATTAGAGTGTCAAAAACTGAAAGGTTCCATATTACCTCATTTGTTAATTTCTTGAAGGCTTCTATAGTTCGAGCGCTATCTAATGGTTCGTTCTCTTTAGGTCCAAAAATTTTTGGAAAATATTCCGGAAGAAGTCTACCAAGTGCTAAATTAGCATCAGTTACAGTGAGAGGACCATCTTTCTTATAGCAGGTTGGTCCTGGATGAGCTCCAGCACTTTCAGGCCCCACTTCAAATAGTCCTGATCTGAAGAAAAGCATCGATCCACCGCCTGCTGCTACTGTATTAATATCCAACTACAATACAATAATACAATCCGTAAAATGATTAAAACTATCAGAACTATTGATTATTTTACTATTTTCAAATAAAAAAAAATAATACCTGAGCAGCTTGAATAGTGATTCCAGCAGTTGTACATTCATAAACGTGCTCATAGGATCCACCATACCGACTTACATCAGTTGAAGTTCCACCCATATCAAATCCAATAACAGGTAAATTTGTCTCTTTATTAAAAGTTGTCATGGCATAACCAACAACACCGCCAGCCGGACCAGAGAGAATCGCTCTTGATCCAATAAACGATTCCATAGGTGTCAATCCACCGTCACTTTGCATAAACAAAACATTTACACCCTTTAAATTTTCCTTAAAGCCAGAGGAAAAACCCTAGATTTAAAATAATTTAAATAGTTTTAAAAAAAATTAACGGGGGTTCATTTAAAAAATTACATTATTTTTCTTGCTACCTCAAGATAATTTTTTATGTGCGGTGTTAAATAGGCATCCGCACATGTTGTAAAGCCTCGAGGAACAATTCTTGTCATTGGCATTACTTCATGAGATAGAGAGACTTGTGGAAATCCTATTTCTCTTGCTAATTGGCCAACCTTAATTTCATGTTCTGCAAATCTATGTAGAATTTCAGTTAAATTGAATTATAACCAACATGAAATAGAATTCAGATACGTATGTTAAAAAACAAATTATTTACGTGTAACTGTGCATTAGAACTACCGCCAAACTTTCTATTCCTATTTTCTTCAAAGACAGTAAATCTCTCCTTAGAGTTTCCTCATCAAGCTCTTGAATAACAAGCAAATCCTCCCCAGTGCAACCTTTAACATTCCTCCAATTATCTCTATTTAATTGGCATCGCTTCGACATTGCAGGGACTACTTTACATTTAACTTCAACTATTTTTGAATATAATACTTCTTCTGTAACAATTTTCTAAATTTAAAAGAGAATTTTAATTAAAATTGTGAACAAATTCAGGAATATAAATGAATTAACTAATCTAGCTAATTATGGCTAAATTGTAACGAAAATAATGTTAAGTTACTAACTAGATCGAACAGATTTGGCCGAGCTTGATTTCCTATATAGAGTAGATCTTTTAATCCTTCGTTTATTAATAGAGCCATTTTTGCTCCTTTCCTTTCTAGCAATGCATTCGTGGCTACTGTTGTTCCCATTCTAATCCATTCGATTTTTGACGTGTCTACCTCATATGGCATTTGGGTTCCAGTTTCCTAGAAAAGTAATCATATTGATGGGGATGATTAAAATTTTCAAATATAATAATCAAGAGATTATGATGTGGGGTCCTGTTCCTACAACCTTCACCTAACTTTCATTTAGGTTTACGTTTGAATATCAGACTCTCGAAGGCAGGTAGCTGACAGCAGTTGCTGATCACCTGTCTTCGAGGATAGACCAAAATTTTTATTAAAATATTTTTGTGACAGTCAGCAATCATCATTTATTCAGAATGAACACTGATTCTCAAGTTTATTTAGAAAAAAGATTTTTGTAATTTACCCAATCGAATAATTAAATGTTAGATCATTGTTATGCGTCAATTATTTGCGACAGTCAGCAGCCATCCTTTATTCTGGATGGAAGATCCAAGATGGAACAATTTAATTTTGAAGTTTATTTATAAAAAAAGGTTTTTGTAATTTATTCAATCGAATAATTAGATGTTAGACCATTGTTTATCATCAATATATTTGTGACTCATGTTATTTATTTAGAAACCGTTTTTAAACTATTCTCCCAAATATATGCAATCCATTAATAAACATTTTTATAATATTATCTTACAAACAGTCATTTGCAACAGAAATTCCGTACAGAAAATTTAAAAGAATTACAAAAAAATAAAAGAAAAGATAAAAGAATTACAAAGAAATATTAATTAGTAACTAATTTTATTTGTTAATATTAAGCTTTGTGACAAGACGAATACCAACCTGTTCGAGAATTCTGCGAATTCCTTCTCGTGGGGCATCTGAATAATTTAAGGGATCAACAGACAGTAATTTCATAACTCGAACTTTTCCGCCAGGGCATCTCGCATAAACGTCTGTAAACGTTCCTCCTCTATCAATAGCAAATTGAAATTTATCTCCTGACATTCCCCTCAGTTTGCAATTCTGTTTCGAACGCAAATAAAAAACAAACTTATTGTTCTAATATTACAAATGTTAAGAACTTAAAACATTTCCCAATTAATTTATTAAACAATGTTAATAACTATTTACAAAAAGTTTATTCGATTGTTGAAAATATTTATATACTTTAAAATACTGGAAAAATAACCGAACTTAATTAAATTCAATGCTAAAATAAAAAATGTGATTATCTTGCAGAAAATATTTGTCAAGAAGTATTTTTAAATTTTGACAGGTTTAAAGATAAGATAAAAATATAATTTTTCACTGCAGAAATATCTCCAAATTAAGAAATTCAACTCCCCATTTTCGTACAATTGGATAAATTGTAATATAGAGAAATCTAGAACCCACCACTCTTACCAACATCACAAGAGTGGAAGATTCCATTCCCAGAGTAAGTAAATTTTATTTTTTAATCATTTCCAACAAATAAAGTTGTTTAGAAAAATTCCCAAGTAACAAAATATTGTAATCTGAGAAAAACTAATGATTTTCTTGACAAATAGAATTTTTTGAAATTGTCAAAAGATTTGTTTTAATAACGATATATGTTTTAAATATAGGTTGGTAATACTTACATGTTGTTTGAAAACATGTGACAATATATCTCAAAAGAAATTTTTTTACAAATAATTATCTATTTTAATGGATCAAACTGAATGGAAATATTAGAAGAGGATTAGATTTTCCACTGTGACACAATTTTCCAACAAACAGGCGATGTTTTCAGATGAGTACTTGTGTTATACTGTGTTTCAATACGAGTATGCGCAATACTAATGTTAAAATTTTCTTCTAGACTCTGAGCCAAAGGTTCTCAACTTATTATTTTCCATTGCCTAGGCGGAAAATTGTCACGCTTCTATTCGACTTTTTATCTTTTAGAATAGAGAGGGAAACGTGAGTCGTGGGTTTGTTGAAGGGCATCATGTAAATATTTGTGTTCGAGAACCTTACGCCACTTGGGCGGTTGAAAATTATAATTTTTAATTTAAATCTTTCTCCTCCTGATTCTTAAAGGAATTTTAATTTTATTTTTTCTATTTATTAGCGGTTTTCAAAAAAATGTTAGGATGTTAGGGAGCAGAGAGCAGTTGCTAATCACCGGTCTTAGAGGATAGACCATATGAGTCAATATATTTGTGACACTCAACAGTCAATCTTCATTCAGGATAGAAAATCCAAGATGTAACAATTTAATTTTCAAGTTTATTTATAAAAAAGGTTTTTGTAATTTACCCAATCGAATAATTAAATGTTAGACGTTATGCGTCAATATATTCGTGACAGTCAGCAGTTACCCTTCATTCAGGATGAAAGATCCAATATGGAAAAATCTAATTCAAACTTTATTTAAAAATGATTTGTAATTTACCGAATCGAATAAATAAATTTTAGACCATTGTTTCTATTTTTTGTTCATTTTCGCCAACAATTTTTCGCTGACATAGAAAAGCAACATGAGCACTTTGGTAAATTTGCCCACAACCATTTGTTCAACAATGTGTAATTATTAAAAATGTTCAGATTTACAAAAAATATTTCACTAACGAACATATATTTAACAGTTTATAAAAAAAAGTAACATCGATTCTGTAAATAACGAAAATACAATTAGGAACTCAATTTCTCCCCCAAAACGAACATCATTAAATTATAAATTCTTTATTTATTTTACAAAAATTTATACTTGTAATATTATAAATATACAATAAATGTAACGAAATTAAAAATTAAATAATTATTTTCTACATCTTAGAAATTATTATTAGCAGAAACATATCACTGTGATATAATTTTATTTTTTAAAAATAAAATTCTCCTTTCTATTTGGCACAAAATAAATAATAATTCGAAAATATTAATTTTTTAACAAGAAGATAAATTACTAACGACAAGAATATTCAAATTTATAAATAAGCTCTAGTTTTTCCTATATTTTTAAATTTGAATTGTATCCGTATTTCAAAATATGGATTTTTAATTTTTGTAAAAAGATTATTATACTAAAATATTTTTAATAGAAAATTGGAAAAATAATTTTCTATATGATATGCAATGTTTGCTGGTCCCTTTAATCTTCATTAAATTCTAAAGACATTCGATTTTTTTTAATTTGTTACGCAAAAACATCTCAGTCCTTCAATGCTAACGAAAATTACAAACGGACTTTTTCGGAAAGTATATCGTCATATAAACTTTCACTAAGCCTCACATAGGTACCCGACGATTGCAGAAAATAAATTGGATCTTGTAACTGAAAATTAAAAGTTATAAAAATGTAATTTTATAATTAAAAATCGTTTCTCTAAACTTAATAGATTTTTATAAAAAATCACGACCTACATTTTTTACATTAAAACCATCTTGTTGAAGCTCCTTCTTCTTTAGTTTAAAAGTACCTTAAAAAAATTTCTCACATAAGTATTTTAATCGATAAATTTTGAAATATAAAAAATAATTAAAATTATAAGTACCAGTCATTGGTAATTGAGCAAGAACTCGGACAAATAGTGGTCTAGCATACTTTGGTAACGACTTTTGTACACCTTCAGCTAGATTGTTTAGGTTCAACGACTTGTCTGGATCGTAAATCGCTGCCATGCCAGCTTTGCCCTCATTTCCAGGGACCTTGAAAAATTATTAACCTTGTTTATAAACAGCTAATCTGAACTACATTTCATTGTGGTTTTATTATCTTTAAAACTAGTTTTAAAGTGTAAAAATAATTCAAAAAGATATTCAATTACAGACTATAAATAAAGATAGTATGAATAATAATTAAGTAAATAAAACATAAATATAAATTATTGAACAAAAATTCCTGTTGTTAATTATTGATACAATTTACAACTTTTGGTATATTATTAACGATTTAATTACCTCGACTCCATAGACAACAGCATCTTTTAAATTAATTACATTACTAATTACTGCCTCAATTTCTGCTGTTGATACATTTTCACCTCGCCATCTTTAGGACAATAATAGGAGAATTATTAATTACCAGTATTAATAAAATTTGTAATTTATAATTTTACTTTACACACTGGTCTCGTTAGTTGAATATTAATTGTAAATTAAATTTTACATTCACCTAAAGGTATCACCGGTTCTATCTTTAAAGTAGAAGTATCCCAATTCATCCATTACGAGAATGTCACCTAAAGAGGATTCATAATTAAAATTTTGTAAACAGTATCTGGATAATATTTTTTTTCTTTCTTTCATTTTACATCTATTCACAATTACCGGAATTGAAGACTCTATCGCCTTTTTTAAAAACGTCTCGTATTATTTTTTTCTCAGAGGCCTTCTTATCAGCATATCCACTAAAATCATTGACTGCCTTGTTGGGATTGATTTTTCCGACAAAAACACCGGGTTCACCTGAAATTATAAAACAATGGGAAAAGTGAACAATGGAAGATGGGATTTTATATTTATTCATACTGACCGGGTTTGCAGGGGATACAGAAACCATTGGGACCTCTAATTAGCTCTCCAGTTTCCTCATTTACCCTCAATAAAGCTACAGGGTACAAGGCACTTGCATATTTTGGCACGAAGCCCACAGCCCCGACTCTGTTGTCAATGTTTACTGAAAAAAAAATTGTTTGCAATTTGAATAATGATCTAAAAATGAACATTAAGGGGAGGGACATTTTCAAAGAAAGTGGGGATGACGTGAATAGAAAATCTCATTTTAACTCTGAACGTGAAACACAAAACATCGAGGGTCTCTTCTGGATGAAATGCGTCGATGAATTAGTCAGTTGGCTCTAGACCTCTCAAGTTAATTAAATGTTAGACTATTGATATGCGTCAATATATTTGTGACAGTCAGCAACTACCCTTCATTCAGAATAGAAGATCCAAGATGTAACAATTTAATTCTCAAGTTTATTTATAAAAAAGGTTTTTGTAATTTACCCAATCGAATAATTGCATGTTAGACGTTATGCGTCAATATATTTGTGACACTCAACAGTCAACCTTTATTTAGGATAGAAGATCCAAGATGTAACAATTTAATTCTCAAGTTTATTTATAAAAAAGGTTTTTGTAATTTACCCAATCGAATAATTAAATATTAGACGTTATGCGTCAATATATTTGTGACAGTCAGCAACTATCCTTTATTTAGGATAGAAGATCCAAGATGTAACAATTTAATTCTCAAGTTTATTTATAAAAAAGGTTTTTGTAATTTACCCAATCGAATAATTGCATGTTAGACGTTATGCGTCAATATATTTGTGACACTCAACAGTCAACCTTTATTTAGGATAGAAGATCCAAGATGTAACAATTTAATTCTCAAGTTTATTTATAAAAAAGGTTTTTGTAATTTACCCAATCGAATAATTAAATATTAGACGTTATGCGTCAATATATTTGTGACAGTCAGCAACTATCCTTTATTTAGGATAGAAGATCCAAGATGTAACAATTTAATTCTCAAGTTTATTTATAAAAAAGGTTTTTGTAATTTACCCAATCGAATAATTGCATGTTAGACGTTATGCGTCAATATATTTGTGACACTCAACAGTCAACCTTTATTTAGGATAGAAGATCCAAGATGTAACAATTTAATTCTCAAGTTTATTTATAAAAAAGGTTTTTGTAATTTACCCAATCGAATAATTAAATATTAGACGTTATGCGTCAATATATTTGTGACAGTCAGCAACTATCCTTTATCCAGGATGGAAGATCCAAGATGAAAAAATCTAATTAAAACTTTATTTAAAAATTATTTGTAATTTACCTAATCGAATAATTAAATTTATATGTATTCACATTGTCTAAGGTTTTATTATTCTTTTTAAAAAGCGCCATTTCCAGGCCTCTAAAATTAGGATCTCTATAGTCATCAACCTAAAAATCTTAATTTTCGAGAACAAAAAGTATAGCTTATTACCTAAATTAGAATTGCCCTCTGTGGCTCCATAAAACTCTCCGATTTGCTTAATTTGAAATCGTTTAACGAACGGCTCCCAAATTTGAGGCCTGAGACCATTTCCAAATAGCAATCTAACCTTATGGGACGTATCGTACGCACTTGGTGGCACTGTCATCAGATAGCGGCAAATCTCCCCTATATATTGTCCAACCTAAAAATGTTTTCAGTATTTAGAAGTTGTGATACAATTAAAAAATTGAAAATTTAGAAAGTAGTAAAGATTGAGATAATTTATTTAGATCCAGATTTTAATTATTTTATAATTTAAAATAAAAAATTAAAAAACGGAATTTAATTCGAAACGATGATTAATCAATCATTCGAATAAATAAATTATTTTTGAAAAGAAGGTACTTAATAGTTTTGGGAATAATTTTAGGGAAGAAGAGATATTACTGTGCATTCGTAATGTGCGCAATCAGACCAAAATTTGGAGGCACTGAAACGTCTGCGAAGAACGACAGTAATTCCTCTCAAAAGAGCCTGACCTGCCCCAACAACTCCACCAGCTGTGTGATAAAGGGGTAGAGAGTCATAAATTCTGTCTGTCGATCGAAGCCCCAACATGGAGTAAACGCCACATGTCATTAACATATACCTGCAATTATCATCTAAAGTAATTTATTTTCACAAGATTCTTCGTATTTGTATTTTATATTTATATGTTCGTATTTTTATTTCTACTTTTAACATTTTGTTTTGAAATTGTGGAATATTTCTGATATGAAAACAAATTTTAATTTTACCTCAGATTATTAACAACAGCAGCCTTGGGCATGCCGGTAGTACCCGATGTGTAGATATAGATTAATTTATCTTTCGGACCGGATAATTCAAGATCAACTTTAAGAGGCTCAGGTTCAGTGTTATCCAAAGCTGCATTTAGATCAACAACTCCTTCCAATAGTGGAGAATCAGAACTTTCAGACCATTGGTATAGTTTCAGATCGGGAAGTTTATCTCTAATTTCACTAATTGCTGAAAGCGGTTAACTTTTTAGAAAACTAATTACGGAATATTTATATAATTTTCTAAAATTATTTATTTAAAATAGTTGACCAACCGTCTTTTAGTTCGGATCCGTAAATAATGGCTTTACATTCAGCGGCTTTAATACTGTGAATGAGAACATCGCCCCGAAGATTTGAATTCACAAGGGCTGTAACATAGCCGGCTTTACTTAAGCCTAACCAAGTGCCAATATATTCAACTCGTCCTTCCATCACCAGTGCAATGCTGTCACCTTTCATCCCTCTTTTGGGTCGAAAGAAACGACCTATCCGGTTGCTGAAATCCTCCAACTAGAGAAATTGTTATCGACATTGTAAATATTAAGTGGTAGAATTTTAAAAATACTATTTAATTGGTTATATCCACTTAGGATCCACATTATTCCTTCGATTAATCCTAGGATCATTATAGAATTGCCTAATCCCTTAAGAGATTATTTTTTAAAATTTAGTTTATTTGGAAAAATTGTATGCGCATGACTGTAATGATAGGGGTGGGGGAATGGTAGGAGTGGGGATTTCAGGGTATATATTCAAGAATTCTGATGAATTTTGTCATTCATTCAGCGGATTGCAGATGCAATAGTTCTGCTTATTTTTAAGTTACCTCAAAAGTTAATCGCATCGACAATTGTTAGTATTATTATTATTATTAAAATTCTAAATTCATTATTTATACCTCTTGATAGGTCCATTCTTTATCCTCAAAAATGTATGCAATTTTTTCTGGATGCTCATTGGCGAGCTCAGTAAAAATTCTGGCAACTGTCAGTCTTCTAGTTTCCCACACCCAAAGAAGTGCGTTGATTTTAAGAAATCGAAAGGCTCCTCTAAAATCAAAACAATACTCTTAATACTTTTAATATTACATATTATTATTGTTTTAATTAAGGGGTTTCAGATCAAAATTAAAATGCCAATTATGCCCACCATCAAGGAATGTATTGCTGCACTGGAATGCGTGTATCTTCACCATTTTTAATTTTAAAAAAACTATTTCGTATTTACATAGCTTACAATATTTATTAAAAAAAATATCTTATCTTAAATATTTTCTTCAAAAACAAATTCTTAAAAAACCCTCCAATTTAAATGCGTTCAGGGTGCGACGTAAACCCTTAATATTTTCGAAAATAATTTGTTTTTATAAAGACATAAATATATTTATGTATTAGTCAAATGTTTTTAACGGTGATCATATTGACGATCCCCGTAACATCCTCTTCGCTCCTCGCATTAAATTGATTAATTTTAACACAGTCCGGAGAGTAGTTTAAACATTCAATATTTAGATTTGTCAGTAAAAACATTTACACTTATCAATTAATTTATTAATAATTAATAATAATTATACTAAACAAATTTTAATCCTATTATGTGATTGTGTCAATATTTTAATTTTCAACTATTAATTTTAACGGAGTTATTCTTTTGTGTTAAATACAGGAAGTAATCTATAAAACTGATTAACTTTCTCTTTCAATGCACAATTTTTAATTAATGACAAAAAATAATTAAATGTCACTTCTGGAGTAAATTTAATTTTCCATAATTCAAAAAATTTTTTTTAAATTCAATAAAATGAAAAGAATAAAAAATATTTCCGATCTTGTTTAATAATTTTATTTTACTATTCAGTGGCACTGAAAATATCGAATAATGATACTTGAAACTTGTGGTTTTTTTCATTTAATATAATATTTATTCACACGAAATTCAGTAGTGCTTTATTTACAATAATAGCTGTTGATAAATAAATAACATTTACATTTCATGTAAAACAAAATTATTTTTAAAAAAAAATTTTTTTTAATTTTTTTAAAAAATGAACTTTTTTTAGAATAAACTGATATTCTTTGAAAATTCGGTTTGAATGGAATTTTAAAAAATATGATTTTTTAAAAATGAATTTTTGTTGATTCGGGATGTAATTAAGGGGGATTTTTATTGTTGAGAAAAAGAAGACAAAGTAATAAAGAGTAAATTTAAGATTAAATTGCAGACATTGAACACGTGCTAAATGGTGTTTTCTTTCAACCACGTGACATTCACTTTTGCTCGATTTATTCACACATCACGTTCTCTTACAAGTGCGCCACGACCATATAGAAAGAATAAATATGAGTGTGCACATGTATTCGAAAAAATTTCAAGAACGTTATAGAAGAGAATAAATTTTTTTAAATTTGCAAAAAAAATATTAACAATCTTTACATATAAAACTTATTTTTAAACTTAAATTGAAATGTAATTCTTCCAATTTAGAAAGAAAGTAAATTTTTTGATTTAAAAAAATTTTAAGAAAAGTAAAATTGCAATTTAAATTTTGGGACGTAAATTAAAATAATTTAAATTCTTCCAATTTAGAAAGAAAACAAATTTTTTTATTAAAAAAAATTGTACGATAAGTAAAAAATGTTAAAAAAGCTTTTTAAAATAATTTAATTTAAAAAACTTTCAAGTTTTTTTTAACTTTATTTATTTTAAAATTTAATTTAAAATAAAAGAAAAAATGTCCAAACATCAAAAAACAAAAAATACTTCACTTTTCCGTAAAATGAAATCAAAATATTTAAATTTCAAATTTGAATTTTAAATTTTCACATGTATTTTTGGTCAAAATGTCACGACTCCCAAAAAAAATTGAAAATTCCCTCAAAGTGAGGAATAATTTTTAAGAAATTTAAATTTAATTAAAATAACAAATTACTTTCATTTTTTACTAAACTTTTAAAATATACGATTAAAATAACAAATAATTTTTATTGAATTATTCATTCAAAATAAAATTCATTAACTTCAGTGATACCTTTGGAGAAAATAAATTTCAACAATATTATAGAAAGTGACAAGACTCATTAACCCTTATCTTTTATTTATGTCAACTAAAAATAGAAGTCTCACAAAATGTTTACGTTGTAAAATTTAAGAGATTAACAATAATTAATAAACTGATTAAATTCTCAATTGAAATCGAGAATGTTAATTTATATAATTAATTATTTTATATTCAATGAGAATCGAAATTAACAATGCGAGATAAATTGAAACATTTAAAAAAAATTTGTTGTTTCATTAATTAAATTGCATTTGTCAATTGTAATTAATCATTTCGATCTAATTAAATTTTTTTTTTAAATAATTAACAAAATTTTTACAAATATTATTTAAAATTTTTTCTTAATATTTAAAACTTTCCTTTAGTAAAATTTAAAACATTTTTCTAATAAAATTTAAAACTTTTCTGTAATAAAATTAAAAAATTTATTTTAAAAATTAATGAGAAACAAATGATAGAATGTGTAAAAATTAAATAATTTTTAATAAGTGATAATAAAATTTTGCAAGTTTGTGATTGTTTGTCATCTGTTTGATACATAATAATTATTGCTATTGACCTGAATCCAATCAGGGTCATTCGAATTAAATTTTATTTTGACTGCATGAATAATGTTCGAGATTAATCTATGTTTCTATTACAAAAAAAAACATAACACGCACATTTTCTATTTAATGAAATACACTTTACAATCTTTAATTTCTAAAAAAAAAATTTATACCTACTTCTTACTTTATATGCAATTTTTATAAAATTTTTTTATAAAAAATTATTTTATAAAAATTTTTTAAAAAATTATTATTTTTAAAAAAATTTAAAAAGATATAAAAAATAAATATGTTTCTAAATTTGAATAAAACATTTTATATTACTTAACAAAACAATTTTTATCAGCACAAAAAATTTATATAAAAAAATGTATAGAATACGAGAAATGGATAATATTTTTAAAAAAGACAATATCTTATCAATTTTAGAATATTTTTCACATTCGACATCGTAATCTTCATCGAACTTTGGTTATTTTGATTTAACCTTAGTAAAAATAAGCCTTATTTTAAAAAAAAAATATAAAAAATGTTATAAAATATTTTTTTAAAAAAATTTTTAAAAAATTTTTTGAAACAATACCATGAAAAGTTATTTAATCCTATTTAAATATTTTATTTTCTTAAAAAAAAACCCGAAAACAAATTGCCAGAGAATGGAAAACAAATATAATTTTAGAGTGATAAATAGAATTATTAGAGTTAAACAACATTTATAAATGATGTTATGAACTCGGCTATTATTTTCACAATGCTCATCTGAAAATTAGGGCAAAATCCTTAAACAATTTACGAGCACAACATTCCACTCCACTGGAATAAAAAAAACTCTACTATTTTTATGGTATATAAAGATTTTCTGATTAAATATAAATATAAAAAAAATAAAGTGGTAAAAAATTTTTCTCCCGTATTTTTTTTGAAAATAAAAAATTATTTCTCTCTAAATTTTTTTTTTGTTGAATCGTAAATTTAACCATTTTTCAAAGTTCTGCAAAAAAAATATGTTCTTTTGTGGTAATTAATCAAAAATTTTATGTTGTATTTTAATTGTCATAATATGGGGAAAAATTTGAAATATTCTATTAAAGTTTTATATTCAATAGAAATGTACTTTTCGATATGAATTATTAACTTTTATTTAGAGAGAATATTTTATTTCCTCAATTCGCTACTATTGTAATAGAAACAAAATGATTGACAGTATTTTTATTGACAAATTGACGTTTCATGATTCACAATATTAACACTCAATGTACCTATGATCATATGTACCTCTATATCCATTATTCGAAATAGTATTCATACAAGTGAATATTTGGTCATTCAACTTTTTTTTCTTCTTTTGTTCTTGAAATAATTCTCAAATTTCTTAAAAAATAGATTTTAAATAAATTTTTTGTTATTCTTAATATACCTACAAAAACCAAAACAAAAATAAAAAATTTATAAAAAATTCCGTATTTGGCATTTTTTGGGGTACTTTGCTATACCCCAGTTGTACTGTCTATGATTAATTAATTAACGTCCGAGAATTTTTTTTAAATTATATTTTTATTTTACTTTAAATTATTTTTCTGGGAGAAGATTTGTTTCAAAATTAAAAAAAACACTCACAATAGATCCCTTGGCAAGGTCCTGTAAAGAATATAGAAGAACCTCCATCGACTTCCGGTTAAAATGAATATTCCCAAAAGAATTGCAATGAACGTGAAGAGAATTGTTTGAAATTCGATCATTTTGCTGAGTGCGATTCCGCTAAGAATCAGCACCGCAATTAGAATTTCTTTCTTCCCTTTTAAACTAGGTATTTATTTCTAATTGGATACGATAACAAACCAAAAAAAAAGTCAAAAGAAAAAAAACAATCACTTTTTGCCAAAAATAACGAATTCTTTTGTTTTTTTATTTGCAAAATTTCGTTGCTTCAGCACAAATTATTGTGACAACACACTCTACATTCGAGAACGGTGATGAGACAACTGAACAGCATTGAAACGAAAGGCATGAAACTACATTTACTTCAGATTGAATGGATATTGTGTATAGTGTACAGAGAATTATACGTATATACACGTACACATATACACCTCGCAAATGATGATAATCGTCATCAGCATCAGGACTGTTTAAACGGCATATATACTCGAATATTTTGCGCAAGAGATATTATTATAGACAATAATACTAATAATCAGACAAATTTTTCATTGCGGTGCAAAAAATTTTAATTTTCAATTTTAGAAAATTTTTTATTTTACTATTCGAGTGATGATGACTATATTGTTTAAATACTTTTCGAAAATTAACAATCCAATTTGCCAATAAGTTCCTAATAGAAGCGAATTTTCAAGTATTCGTGTGGTCATCGTTTTTAAAAATTAATTTTCCGCCATATTGGATCCGCCATTTTGAATTTTTAACAACTTTTATCAGATTCATAGTCAGCGATCTTTAATCCCCCGATTTTTTAAAAATCTGACTTCAAATTTGTAATAAGCCACATAAAAACACCCAATTTATCAAATTTTAATAAACTGTCCGCCATATTGGATCCACCATTTTGGATTTTGAAAATTTTTTTAATCTAACTTTAGATTATTAATCAGCGATCCCAAGAACCACCGAGTAACAAGTTTCAAGCGAATCTCATCAAATTTTTATAAATTGTCCGCCATATTGAATCCGCCATTTTGAATTTTGAAAACTTTTTAATTCTAACTTTAGATTCGTTATCAGCGATCCAAAAAAAACCCCAAGTAACAAGTTTCAAGCGAATCTGATCAATTCAGGGTCCAAAAAATATCAATGTAATTTATTTAAAAATAAATATTTTTTTATACAAAAAGTTTGTATCCTGAACTGGAAATAAAACGTAAAAACATTTTTTATATCATTTTATGGGAAAAAAAATTAACCTACTATGAAAAAAATTTTTGAAAATCTTTTTTCCACGTGGTTGACTGTCCCAAACCTTTGAAAACATAACAATGTCGAAATATAGATAAACAAAAGAATAATTCAGGCATTTAGGAAAATAAAAAGTTCTTTGTAACCTTCTTCTAATAGTTTTTTGTTGAAAGAAAAAAATTCGTTTTGCCATGGATACATTTCAATATCCAACTATTTTCACTGTTGCGAGTCCTTTGAAAATATTTTGGAAACAAGCAGTACAGACAATTTTACTCGCTATTAGAATTCTTCTCCTGGGAATGACACTACTTCTCTTTATTCCAAAAGAGAATGAAATGAAAATAAATAATTTACCAACGAATTCACCACTTAGACGACAATTTTTGGAAGTACCCAAAAATTTCTATCATCCTAACGATGAGAAACTTAAAGAAATTCTCCAATTCAAGAATATTAATTATTGGCGTGGAAATTGGGCAGGAGATAATTATTTTTCATTCCTGCCCAAATGTAAATCTGAAGCAAGTTTATAGCAAAATATTCTTTAATTATTTGATACTAAATTTAAAATTAACCAAAACTTAAATTTTAATTAAAAATTTTTCAGCTAAAAATGTTGAAGTTAAATGGAGATAATTATACGGAAAGTGTTATTAAATCGAGAAAGGATATCAAATTTTTTAAAAAACCATGCACGAGTTTAGTTTTTGGTTTTTCAAATAACGAAATTATCACATGGCAAATGAATTATTATTGCCCTTCAACTTTTTGGACGGAACGAACAATATTTGGCTCTTATGGTCCGATGAAGGCAATAAATAGAAAAAAAAGTGAGGCAAGAATATTTTAAAAATAAAACAAATACCGTTAAATCTAAATGAAATGGTTATTGAAAAAAAAATTCTCCGATATATTCATTTCTATTTACAATATGAAGGGTATTTATTTGAAATTTTTAGTTTTATTCGAAAATTGGATATCCCCATTTTTGCCTGAAAACCAATTGTTTCGTGGCTGCCGTTCCGAAAAAGAAGAATAATTTTCGAATTTTAATTCATGACAATAATTCAAGGCAGATTATTATTTCAGATAAACGTAAATTTCTGTACGATGGAAATTTTTCATTAAATTATAAATAAATGTTCACTATTACATTACTATAATTTTATTTCACTATTTACTATAATAATCTAGATTTTGTGGTGTTCAAGATACAAATACGGAAAATTATTTGACATTTAGTAGTGGATATGATAAAAATTTTCCTATTTTTGTGAATACGAAAAATATATGTTTGTACGATTTTATTATTAATTTGAAAATTTAAAAAACTTTTCAATAAATATTTTTTAATAATTATTATTTCTATTTTTTAAAATTAGATACGTATGCTATGATATGTCTGATGGTACATTTAGTTACGAACATCCTTTCATTAATTATGGTCACACAAACGGTGCCATCCTTATGAAACCAAATACTCCTAAAATCTCCAAACTCTCTTTACATCTTGTGAAAATTGATGAAGGTACTAATTTCAAAAGTGTTTTCTAAAGTTTTATGTTTAGGTACTACAATTAAATTCGTAGTTTTCGAAAGGGGACTTTTGGCCCTCTTTTCAGCTTTATAATTTGAGTTTATTGTAAAATTTATAATAAATATAGATTATTATAGTTTATTATAAAATTAATAATTTTACAGAGAATCTTTACTTAAAAAAATTGACCAATAAGAAGACGGAGGTTAAATTGCCGAAAGAAATAAATCCGAGATCGTATTTTGTTGGATGTCAATGGTTTGAAGATTATGCAACTGTAGTAATTACGAGCAGAAATTTCCAAACCACGTGGTACCTTTCCTGTAGTTATAAAAGTAATGAATTTATTTAATAGGTTTAAGGGGGAATCCTATACTTTTGGAGATTTACAAATAATGCTTTTTCGGAATTTTTTTAAGAAAGAAAAAAGTAACCTAGACTTTCGACTTTGTTGGGAGGTTTTCGTAGATATTTGAAGTATTTGCCAAAAGAATTTTTGACAAAAATATTAAAATATAAACAAACTAAAATTAACTGTCGACGGTCAACTGTTAATTTAGTAAATACTTTCGTGTTTTAGGATCCTTTGTATTTAATTTTAATCAGCCTGTCAATGATGTAATTCTAAATTATTGATTGCATCTTACTCCAAACCATCTTTAAATCATATTGACTGTTGATTAGGGAAATGTACAGCTAATTTATTCGCTGTATGTGATTGTTCATGAATAGGAAATTCATATAATGTATGCATTGTTTCTACTTAACATATAGCATGTGTTTAAATAATATTCACTTTTAATAAACTGAAATTTTTATGGCTATTATTAAAATTTTGATATAGGTACAGGTTGTGCAATTTTACTAGCACAATCTGTGCCAAAGTTTGTAAAAATTGTTCAAACTCTTCCCCAAGCTGAATCTGTAATTTTATCTTACGTTTGTTAATTCTTTGATTTGAGATATCTTGTCCTACAAAACCTGGTACTGAAGCATTTAGTAGCCATAGTTTATAAACACTGTTCAAAATCTTCATCAGACTGAAGCTGTACTTTTATCTTATATTTGTTCATCAATAAAATGCATTAATGAAATTTTTTGATTTGAAATATCTTGTTATATAAAATCTGGTAGCATTAATTTTTCTGTAGGAATCATTATATTGTCTCGTGGTTTTTCTAAGACGGATTGAAAATAAATTCAATGATGCTGAGTTACATTATTTCCATGTATGATTTCTTAATGGTTGTCTAATTGTAAAGAGTCCACTGAATAGGATGCAAGTTTATACCAAATTGAACCTATTTTATAGTAATGACAGAATTAGTGATGACAGAATTAGTGGTGAAAGAATTACCAATCAATAAGTGTTCCAAAATTTGTTAATATATGAGTTCGAGGATTTAGAAAAAGACTTCTGCTGGTATACATGTTACTATGTGATTAGCTCTTGCTAATCTGTTTCCTTCTGGATAGCAGGGGTTTAATGATGACTTGACAATCGTTACCTTAAAACACTCCATGTAACTTGAGCTTACCTGGTTGGTGACTGCTAGAAGGCTACCAACAGACTGACTGGAAGTAACTGCCCCTCACTCTTCTTTGAATTCCTGAACACAATCATTTTAAGCGAATGTAGCAAATAAACCCAATGGAAACAGGCAGGGTGCAAATTATAAAACCTATTTTTAAAATTCCTTCTTAGAACCAAGTGGAAAATGTAAGATACTTTGGACTAAAGATTGGACCCTAACGAAAGGCTATAGTGACATTTTGTCTGCTGGATTTAACGATGGCAATAAATTGCTAACAGTGACACCCTCCGATTCTGAAAAACGAACATCTCAAATTATCAGTGTGATAAATAGGGACATTTATTCCTTAACACCGGACTTTTTATTCGTAGTGGAACTTTTACGATGGGATAAAGCTAACGAGGTAGGAAAATAAAATTCCAACTAGAAATGCTTACAGATAAACTATAGTTAGTAAGCATTTCTATAAACTATAGTTTATCTGTAAGCATTCCTAGTTGGAATAATAGTAAGCTAACAATTAGTAATAATTTTGACGATTTCTAGATTGTTTACTACATTGCAACGAAAATTTCCAATCCTGAGGAAAGACATCTTTATAAATCCTCTATTGCAAATTGGACAACGTCTCAAGTTTATTGCTTGACTTGTGATGACGAAAATTCATCCAAAAGTGAATTGGTTCAATGGCCAACTTGTCATTATTCTTCGGTGACATTTTCACCTGAAGGAAGCTACTATTTGCTGGATTGTCTTGATGATAAGGGAGGTATGTCGTGAATCAAAGAACATAGATTGTCTTTAAGATGTTCTCAAAGAGTTCTTTCATTCTGTTCTTCGGTATAAAAAACTTAATTATCTTTTATTACGTTTGAAATTATATTACCGCAGATCTGGAGAATTTTCCCGAAACATTTATAGTACCAACTAAAAGCAATGGGATTGTGGTATCCTTAGATAATCGTCAATTTGAAAAGGAGACATACAAAGAACTGTTTCATCATCAGCCAAAGGTTCAATTTTTCCAATGTCCTATCGCTGATGGAAAATATAAAGTAAGTCTTAGTCTTTTTGGATTTAGTTCTGGCTTTACTTGTTCTTAGTTCTTGGCACTGTCTTCTTGACCTCCAAGGGGGCAGACATGAAGACTCGGTATCCTCCACTGCCAGCAAAGTGGCTTACGCTTTCTCCAAATCATTCCTTACGTAGAAAACAGCTTGGGCTTCTTTTACAGTTCACAAACTTATGATCGACTTCTTCAACTGATCTGCTTCTTCCTGGTCGGTGACCACAACAGCGATCTTCATCCCTAGCTTATTTGGTCCCTTACTGCTTTTCTGCTTCTCGAGAACATCTTGCAGCCTCTGCTGCACCTCATCTTTCTGGGTAAGGCAATCCAAGTCGCGGATCTCATCCGGCGAAATGATCGCAAAATTTAATCATCTTTACACTTTTTGGGGTCCATTTCAGGTTGGTCGGCAGTTAGGAATCCTTCGTACCGTTTTAAATCATCTTCTTCTAAAATAACCTAAGTTCAAAGGCCTAGTTTTTGTTCGTTGAAAACTTTGTGCCTACGAATTCGATGATTCTATTCTTGCTGTCTAAATGTCCTTTAGTAAAAAGTCCCAGCATCAGGTATCAGGAGAACATACAAGATTCTTGGTAGTGGACTTCCATCCGCGAGGTTGGTCCCCTAAAGTAACCCAAATCCAAATGCTAAAATTCTGTTCCTTTTAGGCAAGAATTAAACTTCAACTTCCGCCGGAATTTACTCCTAATAAAAAATATTCTCTCATTATGGGAGTTGATTCAAGAATAGGATCACAGCAGGTTAACCGAAAATGGAAGATTGACGTTGGTAATTCTAAATTCTAATATTCTCCTTATATTGATACAACAAAATAGTATCATACAACAGATATTCTCACCAATAATAAATCTTTTCCGAAGGAACTTATGCTTCCATTGAAAAAGAGTACATTTACGCTGTGGCTGATGTCAGAGGTTCCGGATATCAAGGATACGAATTCGAATCAGAACTTTACAGAAACATTGGTAGCCCAGAAGTTAAAGACCTTCTAGAAGTCCTCCACTGGATGTTAAATAATCTTTCGTACATCGATGGCGATAATATCTTCCTCCAAGGTGAACAATATGGTGGAATGGTTGCAATTCTAATTGCCCTAAAGGAACCAACTTTGATTAAGGCAGTGTCTGTATATCATCCTCCGCTATTCTGGACTGGGACCACTGCCTTTTTTGCCGAAAGACTTCTCGGACTACCAACAATAGAAGATAATTATTACGGGTAAAATAAATTACACTACATTTAAAAATATTTTCTCCACTGCCTTTTTATATTACTTTAATCCCATTTCATCAAAGATACAAAGAAAAAAGTATTGGCGAAAACGTTAGCAAATATCAAAATATGAAAATTCTAATTGTAATGGACATGAGTACAAGTAGTGGTGGGCACTCTCAACAAATTTCAATGATTAGAGACAAAATGAATAACGAGTCATATCCTTTTGAATTTATGAATGTAAGTTTCATTCAGTTCTACAAACTAAAATGAACACCAACTTTTTTTTTGTGATTAATAAATATCCAATTGATAAAAAATGACTCGTCACTTTATCATCGTCAACTATAAATGATAATATTGATTACAGTTATTGTGTTTGAAAAATAGGTTATTGAACTTTGTTACGGATCTGTGATTGAACGAGCGCGTCATAAATTGTCTTATTATCAGATGATGTTCCAATACTTTGATAAATACAATAGCAAAAATTATTAATCACCTTTTTTCATGAAAACTTGTGTATATTTATAAAGACTTTCAAATATAATAATATACAATATAGTTAAGCAGCCTTGTTATATAAAAAGAAATAATAAACAATATATATATATTACATTTAGAGGTAAATTGGTGATGAACATCGAGACCAATTCGGTCAGGAATACTTTATGATGATAGGCACTGAAACAAAAGTGGTCGTAATTTAATTAGGTACTTATAATATTTATAATACAATAGCAGAAATTAGGGTTTAGTATTTGAAATTCAAAATTTAAAAAAAACACTTCAGCATTGTGGAAAGAGGTGAAAGGCAATAAGTTATTTTTGGCGAATGGAGAAAAAAGTTAGAAATCAACATAATTTCAAAAATACGAAAAAAATTGATATTTAAGTAATTTTAAAAGATACCTTGATTCCTTAAAATTGTCTGCTATCTCAGGACGAGGTAAAGCACGACGACGTCTAAAACTGAAAATTTCATTTGCCAATCTAACCACAATGTTGAAATAAATATATTTGTTTGATATGCATTTTCTTCAATGAATTGAACTTAATATCCTTAAGGGGGGTTCACCAGTTTGTGCAAGGGTCCTGGTGGCGTGTGGACTAACTAAAAACTAACCCATTAGTAAGAAAAGGATAGTATCCAGGGCCGTAACGACGTAGGTGCAGTTGAGAACCCCTAACAATTTTTAAGGAAATTTTTTTTCTTTTTATTAATTAAAGCTCTAGACATCTACTTTTAGGCTATAAATGCCCTTTTTAAAAAACTTTTTAAATCATTTTTAAAAAAAAATTTTTTAAACTTTTTGAAAAAGTTAAATTCATGGTGTGGTGAAAAATTCTTAAAAACCTTTTTTCCCCGTTATAACTGGTGTAACCCCCTTGAAAGATTTTATTTTCTTTACCCACCTATAATACAAAGAATAATTGTCAATGTAATTGCAATGACAATTATTCGGGATTTAATATTTTGCATCCATGCACGGCGTTGAGCTCTCTTTGCAGCATCTCTAAATTCATTTCCCACCATATTTAATCGATCACTGGCTGCCTGTAAATCTTCCATTCTTTCTCCTCTTTCCATTACTTTTTGCACATTGTCACGCATCGTATCCGTCACTTCTTTTATTTGTATTTTCACACTGAAATTTTTTTGTGATTTTTATTATTAACTTTTATTCCATATCAGCTTGGAAAATATAATCTAAATCTCTCGGAAAATTAAAAATCTTTTGTTTTTTATATTTTACCTGGAAATTTTTCCATCTACGTGAACTTCACCACTGGCCGAACTACTGTGACTGAAAATTAAATTCAATATACATTCTTATCCAAAGATGATAAAAATTAATTAAAGAAGAATTCACAATGCTATTAATTTGCATTTTTAAGTGTTCTCAAAGTAAAATTCGATTTATTATAATTTGATTAATTATTTTTAGATTTATTCTACTTGCTTTGATGGCCTACCTTCCTAGGATCAAATTTTTAATTTTATAATAATTTCAAAAAAGAAGTTTAGAGTGAAAAAATTTTAAAAACGAAAATTGAAACTAATATTGAGAACAGATAATTTTTAATCTCAAGTACACAAGCACATTTAATACTCATCTTCTTTATTAATTTGATGACATCAAAAAATTTATCAGTAATTAACGTCTTCATAATATCAAATAAAATGGATTTATCAAGAACGTTATCACTTAATTTTCTTAATTAGTCACAGTCTTTTAATAAAACTTTGACAGCTCGAAACAAAATCTTTGACGAAATTTAAAAAAATCGAACTCTTAAATTTTCAATTAAATATTTAAAATTATTTATCTCCATTCAAATTAAAATCTAAACTTATTTTTCATTTCATTCATTTATGTCAAATAAATGAATGAAATGAAAAATAAGTTTTATTCAAATAATTTTTTGTAAATACCACGTTAAGAGTGGCATTAATGTTAAATACTTCTTTAAAAAATTCATTAATAAAATATGAATTATTGTTCAATGGTATAAATTATAAAATCAGACTTTTGAACTACTAGTGTTGAGGATGAATTTAAAAAATTTCCTTATACGTAAAATTAGTGTCAGACATAAATAAAAAATTTGAATCAATAATTACGTACACGTGTACAATTTCCTCCTCCATGTCGCTGTCGTATTCCAAAAGAAATTCCTAAGTAAAATTAATAAAATTTTATTAATACAAAATAAAAACTATATTTTATTTATTTTGAACAGGAAATGAAAAAAAAAACAATATACCTTCTCACTGTCTTGTGCACCTCTCAAATCTTCGTGAGATAAACTACGCCCATATTTAGTGGGCATAGTTAAAAAATTAATTTAAATTCACTGAATTCACACAAACTGAATGATATATTTTTGGAATGTGTCGTCCATTACATGGAATATTTTGTGAAAATAAGAAAAATGTATTATTTCATGTTCTTGTTCACTACATGATTACAAATAATGCGCAGCCATATTTCTGATAAACAGTGTCCACGACAGTGTAGATTTCTCTAGCACCAACTGAGAAAATAAATTTAATTCAGAGAAATCCTGGGTAGATGACACCAGATTCCTGATATTGGACTTTATATTTGGATAATTGTTCATAAAAAAAATATATCAATATTGATAATTATTGTTATAGTTGTGATACAAACTTTTTTAAAATTTTATTTTTTTTACAAAAAACTTATATTAATAAATGTTAAAATTGAAATAAAAATTAATTAATTTAGTAATTAATATTTATAATAATAATAAATATTAATAATAAATAATAATAATAAATAATATTAATAATAATAATAATAATAAATAAATATTTGTAAAAAATAATTAAAAACAAATTAAAAAATTAAATTAAAACAGTAATGTTTATAAAAATCATAAAAGAACTTTTCATTACGTCCTGAAATGGTATTTCAATGGTCAAAATTAAATTTTTGTAAAAGTAATAATAATTGAATTTTAAGAAACATTTGATTATTCAATAAATTATTTATTTTTTATATTTAAATAATTGAATTCTAGTAGAATTTTCTAATAAAAATTGATTTTCATTTCATAAAAATGAATTTCAGTTAAAATTTTAAATGATAATTGAATATTAAAAGCAATATAGCGTAAATTTTTAGAAATAATTAAATTTTGAAATTAATTTTTTTGAAAAAGTTTAATTAAATTTTTTTTTTATATTATTTGAAGTTTTTATTTTTGGTCCGTAAAGTCCGTATATTTAAATACTTTCACTGGTTCGAGCCCTGATGTTCAAAAGATTTTTAAAAATTGTAGTGATTATAAAAGTGTTGCATTCATTAAAAAAAAGTTTCTTTTTAAATTAAAAATTTTTTTTTAAATTCATAAAAAAACCACTGTTATAGAAGTTAACAGTAATTATTATAAATGAAGAGAGGGAGAAAAGAACATTTTCAGGCAGCGTTATAGGAGAAATCAATTTGCCGTGTACCAGACAATTATTTAGATTTTATAGCAGCAGTAAATAGTGATATTAGTATAGTAATAAACTGTGCCTATTATAATTTTTTTATTCGACCCTGTAAGAACTATTTTTGCTTTAAAAAAAAAAGGAAAGGCAAAAAAGGTAAGAAGTGTTTTATGACTGCGAATATACACTTTTTATTTTCACATTAATAGACATTCTACATTTAGTTGTCACAACATGACGACAATATAGAAAAATAACTTGATTGTCGACGTTTACGATTACTTTAAAGTATTCGTGTGTTTATAAATTAAAAAGTAACCTCCAATCACATAAGTTATATATCAAACCCTACATCTATAATTTACGTTCACGAAACTTTATACCATTTTTGGTTTTTTTTTTTTTTGTAGAAGTCAACAAAAAATCTACAGTTTATTACAGAGTTTTTGGTTTATTTTGGTAAAAATAATTTTCTACGATATTTGTTATTGAGAGAAGTAAAATTATTACTACTTTGAGACATTTAATTTTTTTAATAGGCAGTGGATATTCGCAAATTCCAACTTCTCTAAAAATTATATACATAATTTTCACAAAGGAATTTCTTTTAAGGAAATCATTTAAATAAATCTAAAAAGTTTTATGAGGAAAGTAAAATTTTAGTATAAATTAGAAAAATTGATATTACAGTGACAATGTGACAATTTTTTATGTAAAGAAACTAGAGAATTTTTTTCGAATGATTTCCTCTCTAAGTCCCTGTTGTGATTTAGTACAACTTCTCTCATCAAGTATAATTTAATTCAAATTAAATAAAATTTTCAAAGTCTTAGAAACAACATTTAATTTATAATGAACATAAAATATTATAAAAATAGATCACCCTGAAAGATATGCGCTTTACATGTAGAAATATACGATATGGATTTTTTTAAGTAACTATAATATCGAACAGTTTCAAAAGTAGGGTGTCGAAGTTAAAAAAAATTACAAATGATGATTTTTCTTCATAGTCATTAACCATTTTTGTTATTTTCCCATAACATAATTCCTTTTCGACTCCCTACATTTATACAATTTTCATTTTATTTCGCACAATTCGTTACAAACTTTAGAGTAAAATTTAAAAAAAAAAAAATTATTAATAAAAAAAAATTTTTTTTTTTTGTTATAAAAAATTATTTTTATATTTAAAATTAAATTTAAAATATTTTGATATTATACATATACAAAAAGTTAGTTTACAAAAATTGTGAACAATTGCTGATAGTTATAGTCGAGTTCTTGAACATCAAATTTTAAATTTTATTTACATGTGTATTTTATCCAAACTTGAGAGTATAGATGTTTCTGGTGAAATTACCAGAATCACAAACTAGTAAAAATTACAGCAGTTGAAATTTTTATGCTATTCAATTATCAACTATATAAAAAATCATGAAAATGATAATTGCACTGGAGAATTTTTTTATATATATTTTGTAGCCTATTTAATTTAATGAATAATTTTTATACTTTTGGCAAAAAATTTGACTGATTTAATAGTCCTGGAGTAAAGCCACTTCAGACTTTATTTGATTAGTTTAGAAAAAGATTTTATCTAAGATTAGTGATGCAACTTAATTTTACATTATACAAGGGATATGTTTAATTCTTTATAAGGCAATCACTGTGCCCTAGAAGTTAAAATAGATTTTTATAATTTTTTCCTGCTTCTGGTCAAGTAGTTTTAGTCAAATTTTGAATAAATTTAAATTAAAAAAAATTTTTTAAAAAACACTAAAATCAACCTCGAAATGTGGTTGAATCTTAAAAGATTTAAACTCCTCTACAAAATCCAATTTCATTACACTTTGTGCGTGAAACTTTTTTGCTATCTTGATATTCAAGAGATAAAATATCATGTAAAACAGATTTTGAAACTTTAGAGAATTGCAAAGGAAGTACAGACCACAGTTGTTTTTGACATGCTTTTAAAATCTGTCTTACCTTCTAGTGCACAGTACAATGGAAAAGCTTTTCAAACAACAACTCAGTGCATTACTGTAATTATGTAAAAAGATATTTAGACTCACAAAGAATTAGATTTCAAAAAAAAAAAAATTTCAAAAACACTACAGTTTTAGTATCTTCATTCAAATTCTCAATACAAACAAGACACAATAGTTCAGAATGATAGTAATAATGTTTAATTCCCTAAAGACAATAAAATTACAGCACCTAATTAATTGAGATATGAATATTTCTCTTAGATGCATTATTACAATTAGGCCGCGTCTACTCATTCTTGTTGTCATTATCAACAGTCATTCTAAAATCTATTTGTACATAATATATTTTGAGAAGAAAGCATATCATCTGACGCAGAAAATTCTCTTTGTGTTAAGACTAATGTTTATATTAATATTTTATAACTCAGGCATTTTAGAAAGACGACCTGCGTCAAATGGACGAAACCAGCGTCCAAAAGACTATCTACAATTTTTTAACGATGTCTTATTATTATATTTCTGGTATTAAAAGACGACGTATTTTGTTGTGCCTTAAAAATTCAAATGTGCCTTTGAAGAATTACAAAATATTTTTTTTTTAAAAGAAAACATTTAAAAATATCAAAGAGGTATCACGTGATTATGAATCAGTCTCTTATACTTTGACAGATTCTTTTTTTTTGATAATTGTACTAAAAATATATTTCTAGACATGTAATTTTCAGGATAGTAGATTAGACACTTTTTCATTATTATTTATAGGTTTAAGAAATAATCAAATCACTGCAGTGCAGACTTATTCTCAGGCGGTGCCACCTTTTTTTCATTTGAATTAATTCAAAATTATTTAATGTCAGCAGCTGAGAATTGAAAGTCACTTCTTTTTCTTAAGATTCTAAATATTTTCTAACCACAAATTTTTTTTTAAATTATTCGTCTTCGACAGAGGGTAAATTAAATTAATTACTAAAAGGATGTGTCCAAGGTTTGGAAATGTGAAGAGGGAGAATGACGAGTGCGCACGAAAGCCGCGCATCTCTCCCCCCACCACTCTCGTCTCGCCGACTATATAACTCGCTCGCCCGGTATTTTCCGTCAGTTCACTGTTCGACTTGCCATGAGGCACTTCTCGCACTAACAGGAAGCGAGCTCAGCTCTGAACGTCTTCTATCATAACCCAAAGCAAACGAAGGTTTTTTTCTTACTAGCTTTTCCTAATTACTTTATATTGTTTATAATCCAACATTTATATTAAGTGTTCCCATTTCCACAAATTAGACAAACCTTTAATGTTTTTAAATAAGTCACAACTTTTTTAAAGCCATGTCTCTTTTTTTAAAGTTCTCGTTAAATAGAATTTTAGAAAACTTTTTGAATTATAAGACCTAATTCAAAATTGATCTTATTTCCATTTTTTCTTTACACGAAATATGTTTTCAAACATTTTTCCTGCTCTTGGTTTCAAGTGATGATAGCAAGAAATGCGTCGAAATAGACTAGCTTTTTTGTGCTTGTTTTCTGCTCTCTTGTAACGATCGTAATTTTTACTTAAAGACTAAGTAGATACATTAAATTAAAATCGAATATTATTAGGATATCATGTTTCTTATTTTAATATTCAAAAAAGAAAGTAATAGATTTAGAAACAATCATCAATTTTCTTAGTCAGTAGAATTCCATTACACTAAACTCCCGAATGTGGCAGTTCCATAGTTGGCATTAAGGGGTTACATCTACTTAGGATTTTTTAAAAAAGTATACATAGTATCTATAACTATATATATAATCTACTATATTAACAAATAATATTTGGTTCTTTCATTTTAGATGATCCAGTCCATAAATAATCTGCTCACCACAAGATGTCTCACTTCGGAGGAGCTCCCGCAAATTCTTTATAGGAGTTTCAAAAAAAATTATTCTTATAAGTAAAATATTTCAAAATAAAGTTCAAAGTACCCTTTATATGTGCATTAATTTTTAAATTGAAATACTCAATAGGTTTTTCAGAAAAAATTCCTAAAATATCGACTTTTTTTGGCTGTCTAACTGGATGTAACCCCTTAACATTTGATGATGGTGATTACACCAATTACAATTCTATTTTTTACTTATTTAAATTTCATTCTTTTGCTTTTCACTCTAGGTTCTATAGCCAACTTGCAATAATTGTATGTAATCAAAAGTTAGTAATATGCAATTTTGACGCTACAAGGACTCTTTTTTGAAAAGAAAACTTTACGTTGGACCTCTCACATGCTGAAGAATTTTGCGTGTATAAAAGCGTGGGCGCCAATTCACTCAGTCAATCGATCACTCACTTGCACTCGTTGATAAGCTTCTTTACAGAAAGGAAGATATACACCTAGCTTATTAAAAAAAATTGATTTTTGCATTTCTGTTTGCATTTCCTTATTATCTGATGACTACTCAAGAATTTCTGATGCATATTTCAAGTCGATGTCTAAATAAATAAATAATTTTTCGATCCAAACTAAAAAGAGAGCACTGCCACCTTCGAGAGTCCTAGTTAAAGTTCATTCATACATTTCAAATTCTCTTCAAAAGCGCATATTTATAGTTTATTAAAATTTAATTTCAGTTTCAGTCGTTCACAGTTTAAACATACAACGCATAGTTTATTTTCGAAAAATAAATCTAATTGGGGGAAAAAAAATTCAGAGCTAATAAAAACTAAAAAATATAGATGTCCAGTTTATAAAACGTGAAGATTTTCACAACTTTTACTTTTGCTATCATTTAAACACATTTTATTTAATATTTCCTTAGCAAGATTTAAACTCAAAGCAGTTTTACTACCATGAAGTTTTGACAGAATTTTACTCTTGCTACCTTGCCGTCGTAGTTTCTTGTCTCGTGTCTCCCGCAAACGAATTTGTTTCAGAACTCCCACTAAAAGCTCATCGACATTGTGTTGAATACCACCAGAAGTTTCTATAAATTTACAGTCACGAGATGTTGCCAACTGCTTTCCTTCTGCAAATAAGCACACATCACTCCTTTAATTAACGTACTTGTACATATAATGAGCAATGCAAACAGGAGCTTTCTTTTCATACCTTTAACTAACAATGGCACAAATATCTCTCAAGTACTGAAAAAAAAACGTATCTGCTGTCTGTTTTTTAAAATTAAAAATGGCGGATCCAATATGGCAGAAAACTTTTAAAAATCTATCCAATTAGCGTAAAATTTGTTACTGGAGAGGAAAAACTTTCTTGCAATCATGAAGGGTCTATCTCACTCGAAGCGAACTCAAAGGCTCTCGTAGTGCGTTCCAAACTGTCAATATTATATATAATTTAGTGGACAAGAGGTTATAGTAATTCTCCTCAAAACTTGATGCGCTAAAGCTCTCTTAAGAGGGAGATTATTGTAATCAAACCCACAAGCGAGAGGTATTAAATGTAATGCAGGAAGTAGGTCAGTTTGAATGGATAAATCGATTTAGCGATGATGAATTACTCCGCTACATCGTCAATATTATTTCCTAAACCACAACATCGTAAAGTGTATCGTGAGAAATTTTGTAATGCACTTGAAGAAAATCCAGTAATATTTCACAACATGTGCGCACTAGGAGTTTGGAATGCCAAGTATTGCTGCATAAAAGATACATACGTACGGATGTTGAAAACAGAAAAATACTGATATTTTTTTTTCTACCGGAAAGACCCATCAAGTTGAGAAATATAAAACGCACTTTTATTTTTTTCAATTTTTCGCATAATTATAGGATTTAGACTATGGATTTTTCCGCACTATATTCTTATGGATGAGTTAACATTTAAGAGTTATTTTTTAAGTATAAAAGGGTCATATGTAATAGAGATTATAAATGTATTGTAAAGATTAATGAAGTATGATGTTGATGGTAAACAGCTAGGGGGAATTTAAAAAAGAAATTTACAAGAAGCCACTTATTTTTGTTTGAGATGGGGACCTCAAAATCATGAGTCTTGTGGATACCAAAATATGGTTTATGCAGCTAACTTCAAGTGTCTTTTCAGAACTGCAGGAGACCCTTTTGTCATGGTGAATTAGCCTTAAAAATATTTTAAAATAGAGATAGTTTTTTTTCAGTAAACATTCACCCTAAGAGGACCCCTAGGAATTTTTAGCACTGGGACTCCTAATACTGTCAGTACACTTCTGGTACGTCGCACAATTTATCTTAAGAAGAAAGTTTGTCAAAACAGTGTATCGTAAGATGGTTTACTTAGATATGCTTTGAAGAAGGATTAAAGGATAAAGCAGATCGTGTTCGAAATTCGATTGTATGAATGAATGGTATAATTGTTTCACTAAAGCTGTAGGTATGAAATTTCCTAAAGAACTTTGTCATCTATTTGCATATACAATTATTTAACAATCTTTGTAGTTTTTAGCAATCCTGCTTATAAATTTGAACCGATTTTCTACAACAGTATAAACAGTACCACAAGCAATTGAGATGCTTGTGGAAATTTACTTCCAACTCGGTCATTTAAAGTTTGACTTGTGGTGGCAGTTGTTGAAAGCTCGCATAATGAGCAAGAAGCTTTTGTCTCCCAGTGGGAGTTGATGTACCATCTCGGGAAGCAGGCTATTCAGTCTGTTATGAATTAGAGAAGAGAGTAGTGATGCATTCAAAAAAAAAAATCTTGAGAAAAACAAATGAATCTCTACTTTCTTTTACGAGATAAATCTCGTAATGACGATTTTAAAAATAAAAATATTTTCAGAACTTGCAGAAATCCTCGTCACTTAATTAAAGCTTAAATTAAAAGTACCCCATTGGGAAAATTTCTTACCATTTGGTGTAATGACTCTGCTTCTTTCAAGATCCGATTTATTGGCAACGACAATAACGGACCTCTCCTGTGTATGATGCTCTCGCCAGAGATAATTTAACATTTCTTCAGCAACCTTGAAACTGACACGTGATACTACTGAGTAGACGACTATACAGGCGTGCGGTTCGTACGTTGAAAGAGAATTTTCCACCTAATAAATAAAAACGTTTTTAAAAAGCCTGATATAATATAATTATATTATAATCAACCAGGAGGCTCGGTTCTATACATTTTCATAATTTAAAAAAAATAACTGGTTTATTTACAAGCCTAGGTAAAGTATCAATTTTTATTGAAAACACCGAAGGTAATTCCGTTACATAAAATAAAAGTTCCTCCTATAAAAGAGTATATAATAAAATATCGTTTTTTTACATTCCATCAACATTAATTGGGTATTGTAACATTTACTTTGATTTTATCTCTAGACTAACTACTAATTCACCAATTTTTCGTCTCCAATATCTGAATCCTCTCTTACTCTCCTCTACCATTGAAATAAATACACTAATCAGGTCATTAGAATCAATAACTATTAAAATTGTAAATAAAGTAACAGCTAAAAACTTTGCAGACAATTTAAATAAAAAAACTGTTTTAATCTAAACGCGAGAAATTTACCAAATTCGACCCAATTGTAATGGGGTAAAGTGAATTGAAAGGGAGTCAGTTAAGAAGGTCTCTAACACGAATATTTTTGTAGTTTAATTTTCTTTCAACTCTATCAGAATAGTGTTCAAGAAATTTAATTTGTTTCCTTATTTAAAACTGCCAACTCTCATTACCAAATTACAATATAAGAAAGTAATTAGATTTTTAAATCATTCCAAATATTCCAATTAGTTTCAAGTGTTAACGCTGCACTAGGCATAGGAATTTAATAGGTATTTGAAATCAAGGTTAGTAATGGGAATTAATATTCATAATACTAACAATGATTCCGTAAAGCTGATTGCTTTTGAAATTAGTATACAATGTAATGCATGACAATAATGTATGGTGTATTAAACACGATCTAATTTATAATCATAAAGATCTTTAATATAACGTGGCAGCTGTGCTTTAACTTCTCTTTAGATTTAAGCTGTCTAATATGGTCTTTAAATAACAAAACCATTGAAAGTGGAAAATGAGGAACAATGGAAAATGCACCATTGGAGTATATCTCGGAAAAGCTATTTCATAAATCGTACAAATTTCAACAGCAGCAGTTTCAAGTTTGTTCGAATAGAAATCACAATTTCCAGGAATTGTTGTTTAAAAATCTATCAATACTCATAACGGATGAAATTTTTAAAACAATAATTAATGTATTTAAATAATCCAGAAAATGTAATCCACGTTTCTGATATTCAACAACATGCATTTCTTCTTCTTAGACCCAAAGTCTTTATCTCAGCAATTCCAGGTGTTTAGAGATTTTACTTTTATAATAAAGTTTCTTCTGTCACACATGCGGGAGTTTGCACGCCTTTTATATCTTGTAACTCAAGGTGAATCCTGCAGCAAAGTTACTAATCCCCTGCCCAGGAGAGTGATTTACCCTTTCCTTGGAGGCATTCTACGAATTAATGGAACTTCTCTTTCCGTGTGCTGCATGAGAGGTAATCAAGAATTGTGGTTATGGAAATGTTCGCGCCCAAACTAGCAGAACATTCCCTTGAGCGTTTCAAATTAGAGATCTGGGGGTGTCAAATTGATTCCTCACACGTTCCCATGCAGGATTATCTCTAATGCTGAACTAATTCTGTTATTAATAAAACCTCTATAATTAATTTAATATCGAAGTCTGATTGGAGATACTCCATGGGCTTCCTGTGGGTAATTATGAATTTTGCTGATCAACTGTAGACGAAATAATAAGCTATCTAACATTAGTTAATAATATTCGTTCTGTCCTATCTATTTTGGTGAATTGATTCTATTTTCTAAATAAGTGAGCTTCCTCTATTCTCCAAGAAAGAGTTTAGAAGGAATTTAAGAAAGGGTTTAGGAACCCTTTAAAAATCATTTAAAGAATTATCAATTAAGTAATTTAAATAAAATTTATAGAATTACCTAAAAGTAATTTGATGTCTCAGATGCTTTTCGTTTTCATTTTACATTCACCAACGTCTGGACGGCTAAGTTTGTAATTTAAAATTTACCATCCACTGCTTGAATTTACCAACACGCTTCGCTCTAATTATTATGCGAATTGGATTCTTGAGACGAGGAAAAAAAGAAATGAGAATGAATAATCAAGAAAGGAAAATGGAATTCAACGAATGGTTCCCGAAAAAAACGATTTTACAAAGTTGAAGTGTAACTTTATTTAACACGTATTTAAAAAGAAAAGTAGAACAGTTTTAAACTCATTAAATTCTATGGAAAACTATTCTTTTGAAATTAATGAATTGAGAAATGCATTTATAAAACATAGTTTTACTCCTTTTTTTTATAAATATTCAATTTGAAATTATATACCTCTTTTGAAGGCGTGAGTTATGAACAGAATAATTAATCAATGAAGCTAACAATTTTAATTGCACTTGACTAACTGCATTATCAAATCACCTTCCTTCCACCAAATTACTGTCAATTTATGGAAACCAGAATATTTATTGCATATTACAATAAATTTTATGTTCACAATGCAAATTAATTTGCGAAATTAGAATTCTAGTACGATTGGAATAATCTGTGGATAACCTAAAAGACTTCGTAGATTGAAATTTTTCACTAGTATTTCATAGTATAATTCATACATTTCTTTTTGTGAATTCTGATAAGGTGCAAACTGTTCCTGATTGTAAATGAATTTTGTCCATTTGTAAATTAACTGTTGCGAAGTATTCTTGTAATGTTATTTCAGACGATACCTGAACTATTACTGTTACTGTTCCAATAATCATCTTTTTGTTAGTACATCATGGTATAATTAATATATTTCTTTTCGTGGATTCTGACAAACTACAAACTGTTCCTGATTGTAAATGAATTTTGACCGTTTCTAAATTAACTGTTGCGAAGTATTCTTGTAATGTTATTTCATACGATACCTAAACTATTACATCTTTCCATGAACTATAAACGTCACTATAAGATTCTCCATCACAATCTCCATCTTGATCTATTGATGTATTATTAGTAATGCTATATGTCCTTGTGTACACATTTTGTGTATTTTGGAATGGGATTTTTATTTTTTATTACGATTTTAACATTTTTTTTTTGTTTATTATTTATTTTTGTTATCCCACGTACTTTGGTATCCCCCTAACACTACAATGAACCGCATATTTTCTTATATAATTTCGACAAGCAGATCGACATGGTATTTAAATTCTCCAATGTCGGAATGTCGTCATTGTAGATGTTTATTTGAAATTTCATCACTTTGCTATTTGTTTGAATTAAATTTTCGAAATTTTAGTTATTTGCAACGTATTTCTACGGGTAAAGGAAACGCGTAATTCATTTTACCTTTATTTATAGTTCTTGAAGCAAATGCTATTAGCTTATCTTCTCTTATTGTTAGCAATAAACAAATTTAATTTAATAATTCTTAATCTTATTTCAATTCTAAAAAATTTTAAAAATCGAAAATAATTGTTAAAGAAGAGTCAGTTGCAAGGAATGAAATAATAAATGACTGGATAAAAAAGTAAATGAAGTAAGATGATATTAAAATCCTTACTCACACTCATCTCAATGTGCGGATGATCAATGAATATCATTTCAGATTCTTCACCATCTAGTAGAATGGATACCGTTTTCTCTCCAAACTCATCATCTAGAAACAGGAAAAGTAGAAATCTCTGTTAAACCTGAGGGGAAAATTATTTTAATGAAAATCCAAGAGCACCATGTTGGCCGCGCATTCCAATTTCCTTAAATGGCAAATGTCAAGGCTAATAACATTTTAATATTTTAAATTTGAACAAATAACATTTTACCATCTAGCTATCATTCTCGACCTTTTTTTAAAATTAGTCAATTACTTATCTATTTATTTCAAGCGGTATTGCAAAGAATAATTTCTTAATCAAAAATATAAAATAAAAACAAATAACTATAAATTGCTGGGATATTGCTTTTTTTATTATTATTATTATTTTCCCCAGAGCTTGCGACTATCCTTAGATTAATTCTTTTATCATTTCCGTACATCATAAAAAATGTTTTATACATTTTATACAATTTATACAATTTATACTTTTAAGATTACTTTGTAATCTTCTTTGTTTGGAAGAATTTAATTTTATAAATTGATATTTTAAATTCCTTGTTATAGAGCTAAATGACAATATATGATTCAATTTTTCTTAATTAGTGGTTTTATTAAAAAAATTTATTTTATTAACAATTACATAGGGTTTTCTAAATAGGTGACTTTTAATTAGAATCAATGTTCATGCTTTGAGGACTCTACACGCATTGCAATTTATTTTCCACTTTGATATGGTCCTCGAGCAAAACAGTGTATCACATCAATGTTTCTATATCAAACACGAAATTCCAATTACCACCAACTGAGTTTATTATTGTTTGATGATGCCAGTGGAGAAAATAGTGTCAATTATAAACTTAGTTCTTTTTTATTAATGGATTTAGTAACTTTTTTTTGCAGATCCGAAATCTAATTTATGATATTATCCTTTTTGTGAAAAGAGTAGATATTAAAATTAGGTAAATAAAGACATTTTTATGTAATTTATTTTGGAAAGAGGAACTTTTTCAAGGGACTTATTTTTCGTTCGTGATTTTATCATTAAAAGCAATATTAATCAAAGTCTAACGCGTCCAGTAAAATAAACATCAACCGTTACAAATTGGCTTTGGACGGAATTAGAGATGGTAAAAAGTATCTGGATACTAGGGTGAAATTGATTTTTTTCCATGAATGTGCATCACATGAGAACAGACAAAATAGTTTGGTAGGCTTGAATGGTGTCATTGAAATTCGTATCATAGGGGACCATGTGATTTACAAAGTGAATATCAATACATATAGAATGTTCTGGGTGTTAATGATAAAACCCCAGCTTCTATGTACACGCAAGTCTGCAATGACAAATTTCCTTTGAATTGATAATCGTACATTTACGGAATTGTAAACCCATCAAAGGCTCAACTTTCTTTTAATCTTTGAATGATGAATCGGTTTCTTGTTAACCAGAATGTAGACCACTGATAGTGGATAATTTATAAAAGTTCCAGATAAGAAAATTTTTGCAGAACTGTAGACACTGTCCTCTTGGATGCAGGGTCCAACCCTGACTATATTTCTTCGAAATGTTTGTTTCATTTTCGACTCAATAAATTTAGGATGATCAGCTAAAGTGTTCATCATCATATCCTTAAATATTTAAAATTCCAAAAGAATTCGTAAGATTCTAATTTATCATAATGTTTTTAACATACTTTCTGAACAAGTAAAAAAGGGTGCATTGGTTTTTGTTGTTTTAAAATTCGTTTGTAAAAGTCTCGTTTGAATTTACATGAGTTGTAATAAAAGTCCATCCATCAACCGTGTATCATAAAATTCTAAATGGAAATACTCCATTAATTTTACGGTTCCATACCTCCACTGTTTTAGCTCTAACTAACCTTAACCCAAAAGTGCTGATTAATGCCACTTTTAGATTTTACTTTTTGACAACATTGGAAATAGTTAAACATTTATTTTTTTCTGCAACAATTTGTAATTTGGTAAAAAATAAATTACCTAAACTAGCGTCGTACGTATTTATGTATTCGCTGGTCATAAATTGTGAAACCAAAGCTGTTTTTCCAACCCCAGAATCACCAAGTAGTACAACTCTATACTTTGTACCTTCCTCTACATCACTCTCAGTGCTGTCTCCAGCTAAACCTTGTCCACTGCAACAAGAGCCTTCGAAAGGTGATCTTTCACCTGATACATTGCTATTTCTGAAAAAGAAAAACAGAAAAGTATTCAATTTCGTAAATAGTAAACTTTTTTCAATTCAATATTCTTTTAATATCGAAAACTTAATTAATAAATCTTCCCTTATTGGAAAATTATGATAATTTTTAAATGCCTAATTGAAAACGTATTTTGTTTATATAAATGCGTGGAAACTGTATCGCGTTTTGTTACATATGCAGTGAGCACGTGATTAAACGTTTCATCATGTTATGAATACATATTCTCTACTATATCTATCGTCAAATATCCATACATTATTGTATAATTAATATTCAGTACACCTATTACGTAACTGATTTTAACTAAAATTGAAATTTTGTTTTAATTTTCAATTGACGATTTTCAGTTAAAAAGATAGAAAATAAATTTAACACACTTAGGTATTCGAATCATATGGGAGATATAAGTCCAGCTTTGACGTTTTCATCTGCTCTTGAATTAAGGAAGCTTAAATCCTTTTAAGCCATTGGATCAACAAAGTCCGTTATATAATTAAACAAAAACCTTTTGAACCCTAGGCTTATACCTTCATATCAGGGATCAAATCTAACAACGGATTTGAAATTACATTTCATAACAAATATTATTAAACTTAACTAATTAAGTTTAATAATCTAAATGTAATGTAAAATGTAATGTAAATCTAATGTAGAATGTTAAGTAATGTATTCAACTTATAATAAAAATGGATAATAAATAATTATTCGATTGCATAAATTACAAATTACTTTTAATTAAACTTGAGAATCAGATTTTGGGGCCATCTTCCATCCTGAATGAAGGATGGCTTCTGACTGTGAAAAAATGTTGTCACCCAATATTGATATAATTGAGATTAGTTATAAGAAACTACTCCCGAGTTTTCGGTTCTAAAAAAGGAATTCTAATCAGGATTCTACTATTTCTCTATTAATTTTACATTTATTGGATCAACAAAGTTATAATTATACAAAAACGTTTGGACCCTAAGCTGACACCTTCACATCAGGAAGCAAATCTAGCAACGGATTTGAAATTAAATGACAAATATTATTAATTTTTATTAATAGTCACAACGTGGTGTATAATGTTAAGTAACATATTTAACTTATAATTAATCAGGTAGTAAATTAACTTTTTTTTAAATTTGTTTAAAATGTAAATTTACGCGTTTGAATCTCTGGTTGTCAACATTGCATAACGCAGATGACAAAGTTTGAAGACGAAAGTTTAGAATCTAGTTAAAGCACTTGCTCACTGCATAAAGTGAGCTTAGTTACATTCAATGCTCGTTTAAAACGTACCGAGGATATTGTTTAAATTTCATCTAACCAAAAAATTACCATAAGTACTTTTTTTTTACCAGTGTATAAAATTCTTTCATCTGTAAAGCAACAGAAAATTCATACATATACCACTTTGGAACATTTTTCAATTTTTTTTTTTATAAAGTCAAGTAAATCTAGTTTAAGAGAATAGTAATTAAAATGTTTTATCTTTAACAGTTTCGTCAGAATAATTTTTTTAAAAACTGTGTCCAATATTCCGAACTTTAGAAAATTAGTGTCCCTCAAGTTTTTAGCTATTCTCTTGAAATCGTATAATCTAGCGTATTACCCCTTTCAAATTAATTGTGAACTTATTACGTGGTATTTCAATCTCTCCCTTTTCGAAACTTTTCTCCTGTAACGCCTTTCTCTAATTTACCGAATAATACGACGAACAAGTTACTTCAGGTTCAACGGCCTGGATACTAATTCCGAATTCAGCGTTGCAAACCCAATTTCACATTTCGGAATTCTATACTTTATTAATTTGACGATAAAATTTATAATTCATGCAGTAATTTTTATTAATCACTAGAAACAGGTGAAAAATGTTAAATTTAATTGAAATTCAATAAAAATCTAGGTCAAGAATTATCAGCAAGTTATTTTTCACATATGTTTTTACTTTTTAGCGCTGATTCCAAAATATCCCAATATTATTTTTCGATTTTCCGAAAAGTAGATCAGAAATTAAAAATTAAAAATGGCGGATCAAAAATGGCGGACGTAAAATTGAAAATCAATCGAAAGAAAATTTTCCCCTGTTTATTAAATAATGTTTTTCTAATTACTCGAAGTAAAGATGCAAAAACAGTTCAATTTATTTAAAATTATTATTAATTTTAATAAATTATTTTAATAAATTGAACTGTTTTTTAAATAGTAAATTACAATTAATTCGTAATAAATTAATAAACAACGTTTCGATACTCAAATAGGTCCATCAGCTAAAAAAAAACAATTAAAAGCCCCAGTTTTATATCCTTATTGTAATACACTATTGTCACACATTCAATTCTATATGAATAAAAAATTGTATATTTCCCTTGAAATGTTTACGTAACTCGGCGTGAAAATAAATATGGAAAATAAAATCTAAAACAATTCCAATGCTTTTACGACCAAATAAATTTGTTAAAAAAAAACAAAAAACTGTATTTTTTTATTTTTCCAGGGAAAAAAGTAAATTTTTCATTGTTAAATAAATAAAGAAGCATATTTTTCACATTGTGCGGATGATTTTTAATTAAAACGAGAAAAATAAGAGATTCCATTTTTATCGTTGCTGGCAGATTTTCCGTGAGTAACAATGAAAGCTATAAAACTTGAAATTAAACGACTGGTTTATTGTAGTGTAAATTTACAATTTAAAATATTTTTAAAAAAAGGAAACATTTCTATTATTTGTATTTTCTTAGAAAAAAATATTTTTCCTTAAATTCAATACACTTTCTACTTAAAACTTATTGTACCGAAAGAGACGAAAAAAAAACATAAAACAAGTGAAGTAGAAAAAGTACGATAAGAACAAAGAGCTTTAAAGCTTTTCTGGCTTTGCAAACACGACTGTCTATCATTCTAGCGAGTCCTCGAATATTTTTTTTTTTTCATAGACATTTATTCGAAATCTAGGAGAGTGAAGTGTTTTATATTTTACCTCTTTACTACTTTACTATTAATTTAGTTTTAATATTAATTTTTTAAAAATAATAATGTGAAATATACTTTTTAAGAGAGGATTAACTTTCTATCGTTTAATTTCGATATGGGTTGCTAGGGGTTACAGAAAAAAATAAGGGGTGTTGTGTCTTAATTCGGATATTAGAAGTTTCCTTTTGATCTAAAGTCAAGGTCCACGGAAAAGTATATATCTTTTACCCTTTTTAATGAGTACAACTTCACACGTGTCAGAATACAGTAATTAATTACTTATTCGAAATAATAAATAATGTGCACACTTCAAGTACAAAATATTTTAGAAAATCGATTTTGTTGTGTTTATTTAAAGTTGAAATAATATACAATGAAAATAAATGTTATTATTAACCTGTACAACTTCATTTCTATTCAATGCTGAAATAAATATTGAACATATTTTTTTCTATTAAAAGGGAATAATTTTTTTTTTAACCGTAGGGTAAAATTACTATTTTTCCAACTTTTACCATCAGTGGAATTTAAAATAATTTTTCTTCTTGATAGCAGGTTAATTTTTTTTTTCGTAAAACGATATAAACAAGAGACTCAGTTCTAAAAAAACGGATTGTAACCAAGATTCTACTATTTATTTTTTACAATATTTCTCCATTAATTTTACAATTTATTATTTTTCATGAAAAAAATCATTCTTCGCAATCATTCTTCTACGAGTTAATGAAAGAAAATTGAAAATTATAGATATAAATTGTAAGTTATAACATTACAATAAACCGAGAGCTGCTTGACCTTTATTTAGTTTGGCAAACGAAACAGCAGCCGTAAAACTCTCGCATTTTTTCATTAAAACAGAAGAGGGTAAATATTTGTCCCAGCTATTTTCGATCTGTTCTCAACTGAATGCCTGACATGTTCCAATAATGTTGATTTTTATATTGTCCTAATTATTTTCTCGATTGTAAATGAAATCATAAATTAAAAATAAAATTTAGTTGTCGTCATATAATCTATTGTGGGAGGGAAAATTTCGATTTTAACAAATCATTATTTATTTTATCCCTATATTTGTTGGTGTATAAAGCAAATATTATTTAATACTGTTAAATTTTTTTCGTTTATTTTACCAATCGACTAAAAGTATTTAATTTTATCAATTTTTTTTATATTGGAAATATATATACCGATAAGGAATTTAATATTTCACACTATGAAAATAAAATTCAAATAAATAAATTACTGCGATTTCCGGGTTGTAAACAATGATCACTATTTTTATTACAAGAAATCTTTGCTGCCAAAAATGTTTGTCATCGTTTTTTGGTCGATATATATATATATATATATTTAAGAGATTCGAGGAAATTTTAGTGTCATCAATGGTACACGTCATTCTTTGCGAATATTCAAATTTATATGAAATGATTCACACGCTTTTGAAAATTAGTTTTATTGATGCGACACACGTTGCGCATAGGAAAAAAGAAGTTAAATCACAGATTCCAAATTCAGAACGAAGCATCGCCATCAAAGATTCTAAAAGAAATTTACGACTCAGCAGCGTAGACGAATAGTCGTCGAAACTCGAGAAAATCTTTCGTCGATCTTTATTTTCTCACTTTTTCTCAAAGACAATGAAAGAAAAAGAAAAATTCGAGTGAAATGTAAAAATCTACACTACTAATTGAATTTTTTCCTTTATGAGCTGGCAAAAATTAATCAGTCAAGAGTGCAGCTAAAACACCATATTTAAAAAAGTGTTTACCCACTTTAATAAAGTCGGTCAAGAATTAAATCTCTCTTTTTTTTAAAAAAACGAGATTTGCACGAATAACCAGGAAAAGACTCTCAAACAAGTGAAAAATGTATATAATTTTTCAGACTCACTAACTTTTATTAAATCGCTTTCTAATTATACAAAATTACGATTTTCTTTGAAATTTTGTCAAGTAAATAATAAAAAAAAGTAACAAAAAAGTAGAAGTAGAAAAAACGAATATATTTTTTTACGACTCTTCGAA